CTCTGGGCTCTGCAAACAGTGGGTGAGAAGGGCCCCTCCTCTCCTACATCACAGGCAATGTTCCCTTCCTGCCGTGCTGGACTCTGCTCTGCGGACCAGAGGGCATAAGCTCTGCCCACTGACCGCTTGGAAGGGACCATTCCTGGCCCTTCCCTCATAGCCCTCCTGGACCCTGTCATGTCAGGAATGGGGCTCTGGTGCCTTCCAGTCCAAGGTTAAACTTTGAACTTACAGGATGGCCGAGCTGTGTGTGGCAGAGACACAGACATTGAGGACCCAAACCCTCACTCAAGATGGTAGGGGCTGGATCCTCAGGGCAGGTCAAGGGCTGCTTGATATGTCACCCAGGGGGCACTTTTGGGGCCAGTGACCACCGTGAACTCTGTCCTCGCACATCAGACTTCTGTCTGTCCTCTAAAGGACAGCTTGCCCTTGAATGTGGGTCAGAACTGTCCTTTGGTCATTGATTGAGCCACGGATGGAGGCAGAGGGAAGGAGGGGAGAGTCAGGGACCCCAGGGAGACAGCAGGCCCCTGGGAAGCCCCTTAGTGCATAGATGGGATGAGCCAGAACCGGGCTGCAGACAGTAAGCAGGATGGCCTGTGCCCACACTGCACATTGGGGGGCAGGAGAGCTGCCCCCGGGACAGGGGCACCAGAGGGCCCAGGGGAGGCCAGCCCCACAGGGGCAGAGCATGTGCCGGCCAGCTTTGAACACTGTCCCCTGGGCCCAGGTGGCTTCTTTGCCCCGCCCCCGCACACCCCCTTGAGTTGACCTCGGCCATGTCTGGACTCCCCCAGGCCCTTTACACAGAAATCACCCAGAAAAAAAGGGAACCTCAGGAAGCAAGCCCTACGACTGGTTTCAATCCCATTCTTAGTCTTTGCGGAGCTGAGGGTGGGGTGAGTCGCACCCCAGGGCCCAGCGCCCCCAGCTCCTGGGCCACAGGGCTGTGGGCACAGGGCACAGCCAGGAGGAGCCCCAGGGATCAGAGCTGGAGAGGGCAGTACAGGAGCACTGCTCCCTGGGCCTGCTCTTGGTAAGAGTTGTCCATCCAGAGCAGGGTAGAAGGAGGGCATCGGGGACAGCAGAACCAGCCATGGGAGCTGAGAGCAGATCACACCTTGGAGACCCCAAAGAACTACAGGAGCAGCTGAAGCAGCAGGAAATGCAGGTGGTCTCAGGCTTGGATCCACCGAGAACAGGAAGCAGGCAAGAACTTCTCACCCACAGAGATGAACGTGGGCTGGGGTCAACAGAGGCCAGCTGGGCTGTGGGCCGGGGCATGAGAAGAGTGAGGAGCTGGAGGACAGAGCCACGGCTGCACGTGGCCAATGGGCAGGGCACAGTCCGGGCTGGAATCTGCCCTGCAGGGCCCCTCCGGGGTGTGCAGTGGGTCTGAGCCCAGGAGACAGGAAGGAGGCTGGCTCAGCTCAGGAATGAAAAAGACCCTAGGGCTCCCAAGAGTCCTGTGCAGGACAATGGACAGGGTCAGAGGAGGAGGTCGGGGCCCTGGGGAGAGGGGAGCAGGAGCCTGGGTTTTGACCTCAGTGAACAAGCTCAGCAGATGGGCTCAGTGGTGGTAGACAAGGGACAGGAGTAGGGTTCTGGGACCAATTTTCTGGGTACAGGGCAGCTGACCTGCAACTAGAAGGAGCAACTAGAAGGTTCTCAGGGGGAAAGGGGATCAAAGGGGGTGAGCTTCTCTGGGAAGGCACAGGCAGGGCAGAGGCTGCCTGGACTGAGCCAGCCGGAGAGAGGGTGGACACAGCCCAGTGCCAGCCCGAGAAGGATGAGATCAGAAGTGGAGCTGAACAGGGCTGAGGGCCCTGGGATGGCAGGGGGCCCAGAGAGACCTGTGTGGGACACCACAGCCTGGGTCAAGAACACACACCTGTGGGAAACAGGATCCTAGAGCAGAGGGGCAAGGGGCTCCAGTAGCCCAGCAGGCTAGGGACCACGGGCAAGACAGCTGCAGGTGAGCACTGTCAGGTGGGAGGGAAAGGAGGCAGGGAGCTGTCCCAGGAGCCCTAGGGGAGCTAGCAGAGCATATGCAGTGAGCAGGGAGCAGGTGGAAGGGCAGAAAGGTACCCCAGTAGCTCTGGGGAGCTGGAAAAGCTATGCAGTGAGTAGGGCAGGTGGGAGGGTAGGGAAGTGCTCCAGGAGCTCTAGGGGAGCTGGAAGAGATTTGTTGGTGAGCAGGGGCCAGTGGGAGAGCCAGAGCTGCTCCATGGGCTGTAGGGGAGCTGGCAGAGCTTTACAGGTGAGCAGGGGCCAGTGGGAAGGCAGGAAGCACCCCAGGAGCTCTAGGGGAGTTGGCAGAGCTTTACAAGTGAGAGGGGCCAGTCGGAGAACCAGAGCTGCCCCAGGGGCTCTAGGGGAGCTGGCAGAGCTTTGCAGGTGAGCAGGGGCCAGTGGTAGGACAGGGAGGTGCTCCAGGAGCTTTAGGGGAGCTAGCAGAGCTTTGCAGGTGAGCAGGGGCCAGTGGGAGAGCTGGAGCTTCCCCAGTGGCTCTAGGGGAGCTGGCGGAACATATGAAGTGAGCAGGGGGTAGTTTGGAGGGCCTAGAGCTTCCCCAGTAGCTCTAGGGAAGCTGGGAGAGTTATGCAGTGAGCACGGACAGGTGGGAGGGCAGGGAGCTTCCCCAGTGGCTATAGAGGAGCTAGCAGAACATATGCAGTGAGCAGGGGTCAGGTGGGAGGGGAGGGAGGTACCCCAGTAGCTCTAGGGGAGCTGGCAGAGCATATGCAGTGATCCTGCGGGGGTCGGAGGGCAGGGAGCTGCCCCAGTAGCTTAGGGGAGCTGACAGAGCTATGCAGGTGAGCAGGGGCTAGTGGGAGGCCTAGGAGCTCTAGGGGAACTAGCATAGCTTTGAAAGTGAGCAGGGGCCGGTGGGAGGGCAGGGAGGTACCCCAGTAGCTCTAGGGGAGCTGGCAGAGCTATGCAGGTAAATAGGGGCCTGTGGGAGGGCAGAAAGCTGCCCAGGAGCCCTAGGGGAGCTGGCATAGTTTTGCAGGTGAGCAGGGGCTAGTGGGAGGGCAGGGAGGTACCTCAGTAGCTCTAGGTGAGCTGGCAGAGCTATGCAGTTTACCAGGGGGAAATGGGAGGGAAGGGAGGGGCTCCAGAGCTCTCTGGGAGCTGGCAGAGCTATGCAGGTGAGAGGTGCTGGTGGGAGGTCAAGGAGCTGCTCCAGGAGCTCTAGAGGACCTGGCAGAGCTATGCAGATGTTCAGGGGACTGTGGTAGGGCCAGGAGCTTCCCCAGGAGTTCTAGTGGAACTGGCAAGGCTATGCATGTGAGCAGGGGCCGGTGGCAGGCAGGAGCTGCTCATGGAGCGCTAGGGGAGCTGGCGGAGATATGTAGGTGTTCATGGGTCCATGAAAGGGCCAGGAGCTGCCCCAGGAGCTCTACAGGATCTTGCAGAGTAATGCAGCAAGCAGGGGCCAGTAGGAGGGCAGGGAGCTGCCCTAGGAGCTCTAGGCGAGCTGGCAAAACAGCAGTGAGCAGGAGCAGGTAGGAAGGCAGGGAGAATCTCTAGGAACTCTAGGAGATCTGACAGAGCTATGCAGGTAAGCAGGGGGTAGGTTGGAGGACAGGGAGTTGTCCCAATAGCTCTAGGGGAGCTGGCAGAGCTATATAGGTGAGTAGGGGCCAGTGGAAGAATTGGGAGCTGCGCTAGGAGCTCTAGGGAATCTGGTAAAGCAATGCAGTGAGCAGGGGCCAGTGGAAGGGCAGGGAGCTGCTCATGGAGCTCCAGGGGAGTTGGCAGGGCTATGCAGGTGAGCAGGGGCCCATGGGGGAGATGGGAGCTGCCCCAGGATCTCTGGGAAGTGGACAGAGCTATGAGGTTAAGCAGGAGCTAGTGGGAGGGCAGGGATGTGCTCCTAGAGTTCTCCAGGAGCTGGCAGAGGTGTGCAGGTGAGCAGGGCCACACAGAAGGGCAGAAAGATACTACAGGAGCTCTAGAAGGCCTGGCAGAGCTATCCAGGTGTACTGGGCCTATGGGAGAGCCAGGAACTGCCCCAGGATCTCTAGGAGAGCTGGCAAAGCTATGCATGTGAGCAGGGGCTGATGGGAGAGCAGGGAGTTGCCCCAGGAGCTCTGGGGAGCTGGCAGAGCTATGTAGGTGAGTAGGGGCTCATAGGAATGCCGTGAGGTGACCCAGGGTCTTCTTAGGAGCTTCCAGAGTTATGCATTGAGCAGGGGGTATTTTGGAGAGAAGGGAGCTGCCCCAGAAGCTTTAGGGGAGCTGGCAGAACGATGTAGGTGAGAAGAGTCCAGTAGGAGAGCTGGGAGATGCCCCAGGAGCTCCAAGGGAGCTGGGGAAGTTGTGCAGTGAGCAGGGGGTAGCAGATCAGAGAGCAGGAAACTGCCCCAGGAGCTCTACAGGAGGTAGCACAGCTATGCATGTAAGTAGGGGCCCATAGGAATACCAGGAACTGCCCCAGGAATCTTGGGGAGCTAGCAGAGACATGCAATTAGCAGTGGGCAGGTTGGAGGGCAGGGAACTGCCCAAGGAGCTGTAGTGGATATGGCAGAGCTAGGCAGGTGAGCAGGGCAGGTGGGAGGACAGGGAGCTGGCCCAGTTCTCTGAGGACAAAGGGACTGTGGTGAGCAGGTGAACAGACAGAGATTGCAGGGCAGTAGTCATGGGGCACTGTTGTTGATAAGCCCCAGGGATGGAGCACGGGCCCTTGGTGTGCCACTGGGGCGGACACAGCAGCTCTGGGTTGAGCAGAGGATCTGAGTGCAGAGGACTGGACGTTGGGCCAAAGGCAGTGCCTGGTGTCCTTCAGGCACTCAGGGTGGGGGCTCCGTCTGGTTGTGCTGAGTGCCCCTGGGCAGAGGAAGCAGGAGTCCCTGAGCAAAGAGGGCTGGAGCCTAAGCTGGCAGAATTTGGATCTCAAATGGTCAGAGGCAAGAGACTGATGGACAAGATGCCTGAACTCCTGTGCAGGTATAGGCAGAGGGATGGGGAAGGGGAAGCTAATGGGGAGAAGCATGGAGGAGGCGAGCCGGCAGGACCCTGAGAGGGAGCAGCCCCAGGGCCAGGAGCTCCAGGCAGCAGGCAGAGAGGCACCAGTGGGCTGGGAGGGCAGGAGAGGCTGTGAGAGCCCAGGAGCTCTGTGGACCAGGGCAGCGCCTGAGCACAAAGGAGTCCTGGAGGAGGTGGGGGATGAGCTGGGAGGGAGCAGAGAGCAAGCTGCGGGGCCAGGTGAGCCTGGTGGACAGCAAGGGAGGTTGAGAAGGGGTTTGAGCAGGAGAGGCTCTGAGGGGAAGGGGTATGGGGCCCCAGAGGAGACCGGTGAGCCACCATTCCTGTCCGAGAGGCTCCAGTCCTCTTGCAGGGAGCTGGGGTGACGTGGGTTGGCATAGTGCCACGGACCCCTTGGTGGGACACAGGAGGGCCCACTCAGGGCCTGAGCCAGCGCTTTCCACCCATGTGGGTGGGAGGGGAGAAGGGGCCGAGGGCCAGAGCCCCAAGTCTGGCTGATGGGACCAGGATGGGGGGGCAGGCCTGGCTGTGGGGTGGGGGTGCACCCTGGCCACCCTGAGGTATAGGTCCCTGGTGTCACACAGGAGAGGGGTGCCAAGGCCAGTGCCTGGCTCCTGGTCATTCTGAGTAGTTGGCTGCACTCAGGAAGGACCAGGACCAAGCGAGAGCTGGTTAGCCAATGGCATGTGTGAGCTCAGGATGCCACAGGGCACCAGGGGAGGCTGGTGGGTCAAGGGGCAAAGACATAGGAGCCTGGGCTGGGGGACCACAAGGACAGGGGTGGCTCCCCTGGACAAGATCTAAGGTTGGGACAGGGTCCGAAGTGAGGATGGGAACCAGGCTGGTGCTTTGGCTGGGCAGCTCACCTGGAAGAGTGCAAAGCCAGAGTGACAGGGGCTCTGGCTGCGGGGCTGGCAGGGGAGCACAGATAGAGCCCCACCAGAAGGAAGGGAATCCTCACCCAGGGCAGGGTCAGGCAGGTGGCAGGACAGTGGGTGCAGGGAGCTGACTGTATGAACCAGCCAGAAGCAGGAGCCATGGGTCAGAGTTCAAAGGGCTCTGTGGGGACAAGGGGGAAAAAGGGGGCCATAACTGTGAGGTTCAGGGGACTCAGGTCCAGGAGGCCACACAGCACTAGCTGAGCTGGTAAGTCCAGAGCCAGTGACAACAGAGACACAAGACCTTGGTGGCAGAAACACACACTGGTGGCTGCTCTGCAGATCATTGGCCCTGGGCACTGGCCTGTGCCCTATCCCAGGCCTGGGCTCTTGACACCCTGCAGGGACCTCTGGGGCTGAGGCCCTGGCAGTCACACGGCCTCCTCTCTTGCAGCCTCCACCACGGCCCCAAAGGTCTTCCCGCTGTCCCCCCGCTGTGGGGGCACGTCCGACTCCACGTTGTCCCTGGGCTGCCTGGTCTCCGGCTACTTCCCCGAGCCGGTGACTGTGTCCTGGAACTCGGGCGCCCTGACCAGCGGCGTGCACACCTTCCCGTCCGTCCTGCAGTCCTCAGGGCTCTACTCTCTGAGCAGCATGGTGACAGTGCCCTCCAGCAGCGCGTCCAGTCAGACGTACACCTGCAACGTAGCCCACGCGGCCAGCAACACCAAAGTGAACAAGGATGGTGAGAACCCAGCCACTGGGGGACATCTATGGGAGACAGGCCAGGGGGGCCTCCTGCCTGGACAGGCCATGGAGCAGGGATGGCTGCCCCAAGGCTGTGGGTGAGGCACTGATGGTCTCCCCATCTTGAAGGTCCCCAATCTTGGGGAGGGGTCTTCTGGGCATTTCCACCAGGCTCCAGATAGGCACAGGCTGGACACACCTTCCCAAGCCTCAGAGGCCCCAGAAGTAGATGATGCTCTGAGACCTGCTGATCTCTAGCTCTGACCTAAGCTCACCCCCAGGGCTTAGTAATTACACCCAGGCCCCAGTAACCCTCAATGTGTTCTCTCTGCAGTGCCCATTGGAAATCCTGAGCCACCTTGCAAATGCCCACGTGAGTCAGCCACCCCAAAGAGGTGGCCCAAGCCCAGGCGTGGCCCACGGGGGGATGGGTGTCCTGGGGAGGCCCATGTAGGTGCTGACCCCTGGCCTCTGTGTCTTTTACACCAGCCGTTGACCCCCCGGGAGCGCCCTCCGTCTTCCTCTTTGCCCCACAACCCAAGGACGTCCTGATGATCTCCCGGACACCCGAGGTCACATGTGTGGTAGTGGATGTGGCCTCAGATGACCTCGAGGTACAGTTCACCTGGTACGTGGATGGCACTGAGGTGAAAACGTTAAATAAGAAAGCAGAGGAGCAGCAGTTCAACGGCACCTACCGCGTGGCCAGTGCCTTCCCAGTCGCGCACCAGGACTGGCTGAAGGGCAAAGAGTACACCTGCAAGGTCAAGAGCAGCTCCATCCCAGCCCCCATCGAGAGGACCATCCACAAGCCCAAAGGTAGGGGTAGAAGAAAGGCGAGGGGCAGGTCCCAGAGGGCCTGCCTTTGACCTGGGAGTGACCGTCTCTGTTAACCTCATCCTGCAGGACAAGCCCGAGCACCACAGGTGTACGCCCTGCCCCCACACCCAGACGAGCTGGCCAAGAACACCATCAGTGTGACCTGCCTGGTCAAAGACTTCTACCCGCCAGAAATCAACGTGGAGTGGCAGCACAATGACCAGCCAGAGCCGGAGTCCAAGTACATCACGACCCCGCCGCTGAAGGACAAGGACGGGTCCTTCTTCGTGTACAGCAAGCTCTCCGTGGACAAATCCAGGTGGCAACAGGGACAGGTCTTCGCGTGTGCGGTGATGCACGAGGCTCTGCACAATCACTACACCCAGAAGCTCATCTCCCAGACTTCGGGTAAATGAGCAGCGCACCCAGCGCCCAGCGACCCCCACCCATGTACACGCCCCAGGCTCAGCATTAAATAAAGCACCCAGCGCTGCCCTGGGACCCTGCCACACTGTCACTGTTCTTTCTGAGGCAGAGCCCAGGCCGGGCTCTGCAGTGGGTTGTCACCATGAAGGGGATAGAGGTGGGCCCACTGGGGCAGGACCCAAGCCTCCAGGTCTGCAGGCACCTGAGACAGGGGGCGGGGTTTTGCCACCAGAGGCCACTCCTACACCCTCCGCAGCCAGCACCCACTCTCACTGGAGGAGTGGACAGGGCACAGGTGAGGGCCCTCCAGAGCCCCACAGGGATGCGAGGGCCCAGGGTTTGTGCCTCTGCACGAGCCCACACACTGGGACAGTGTGGCCCTTGTCTCCAGGGATCCCTGTTCACTACTCCTCTCCCAGGCTCTATGAGGTGGCTCTGGGCTCACACAGGGGGAGGCTCAGCCCCTGGAGCTGTGGGAAGAGGCTCATCTTGCCCCGAAGAACCGACTTCCCACCCTCCCTCAGGGCAGGGGGCTCTGCCCGCCTTGTCCAGCCTGGGGCCAGGCCTGCCTGCTCAGGGGAACACACGTGCTATTACCCTAAAGGGGCAGAGGCCAGTGTGCTGGGGCCCCAGGGGAGAGACTATCTAGGTGCCCTCAGGGATGCTGAGCCCAGACCCACTGAAAATGAGTCACTCCCACTGACCTGCGCCAGCTCACATGGCCACCTTACAACACACATGCACACATGTGCACACACATGCACACGCACACAGGCCTTACACTCTGGGACTCCCACGAGGCACACTGCACAGGCCCAGGCCAGAGAACAGAGTGGGTCCTGTGAACCCCACCGAGGACACGAGCCAGGCTCCACCCCCTCCAATGCCCCTGTGCCCACCTAGCAGCTCACCCACACTCTGACCAGCTCAGACACCGCTTTGCCCTCCCTAATCTGCAGAAATCCTCCCCACTGCACTCAGACCAGCCCTCCAGCCCTCCCACTTGTCTCTGTACTCACAGTACTGACCTGGCGCTGGCCCTTCCTGGAGCAGGGGCTCCACCAGTCCTCTGACCCCTGGGAGGAGACAGAGGGCTGGGTGGGCTGCCGAGCAGACTGGACTGCGGGGCCACCTCATCCACACAGGGCCCAGTGTGAGCAGCAGAGAGGAGAGGGCGCCCCCACAAGTTGAGACCTGGGGCCCAAAGTGGAGGAAGGGGAAGCTGGGCACCTCTGGCCCAACCCAGGACCTGCCACCCTGTCACAGAGAGTCCCTAGGCCCCACCAGCCTCACACCAGCCCCACAGCCACCAGCACTGACCTCCCCCTCCCTGTCCAGAGGTGCTCCTGGACGAGAGCTGTGCGGAGGCCCAGGACGGGGAGCTGGACGGACTTTGGACCACCATCTCCATCTTCATCACCCTCTTCCTGCTCAGCGTGTGCTACAGCGCCACGGTCACCCTCTTCAAGGTGCGCCTGCCGTCCCCACGCTGCCCCCACGCCGTCCCCACATTGCCCACATGCCATTGCCACATTGTTCTCATGTTGTCCACATGTTCTAACACCATAACCACACTATCCCACACTGACCTCATGCCGTCCCCACACTGACCCCACATTGTCACCACACTGACCACACAATGTCCCAACACTGTCCCCGTGCTGTACCTAGGTTGCGCCCGTGCTGTCCACATGCTGCCCCCATGTTATCCCCACATTTACCACATGTTGTTCCTGTGCTATTCCCCCACTGGCCCCATGCTGTCTTCGTGTTGTCCCCACTCCACCCCACATTGTTTGCATGGTGTCCCCACACTGACCCCCCACTTTGTTCCCTTGTTCACACATCCTCAAGCTGTCCCCATGGCGTCCCCACGTTGTGACCTGTTTTTTACGTGCTGTCCCCACACTGCCCCCATGCCAGCTCCACACTGTCCCCACACCCTACCAGGTAGTCCCTGCATTATTTCCATGCTGTCCCTCACTGTCCCCATTCTATCCCTCACTGGCCCTCATCATTTCTCACTGTTCCTACACAGTTGCCCCCTGGCCCCCTCACTCTCCCCACCCTGTCCCCACACCACGCCCATGGGGTCCTCCCCCACCCTGTGGAGCCTGATGTGAGGTCCTGGGCTCTCACCCCTGCAGGTGAAGTGGATCTTCTCCTCGGTGGTGGAGCTGAAGCGGACCATCGTCCCTGACTACAGGAACATGATCGGACAGGGTGCTTAGCGCCAGCCCTCATGGGCAGACCTCCAGGGCCGCCCCCGACCCGCATAGAGCCCGGGTCCGCTGGTTCATGCTGCTCAGCCTGCTGCCCAGGCCTGCTTCTCCACCCTCTGACCCCACTGCCCTCTGGCCATGCCGCCCTCTGACCCCATGGCCACCATGGGCCTGCGCCTCTGACATCTGACTTCACAGCCATCCCAGGATGCATCCTGCCCTGTGACTGACCCCTTCGGAGAGCCAGGTAGACAGCAGGTATACCCCCAACCTGAGCCGATGGATGCCTGCCAGCCCCTCCACTTCAGTTCCCAAGACACCGCCGGGGGCCCTGTGGACACCAAGAGCGTCAGCGTGCTGCATCTCCTTCCCAGGACGTCCCTGCCTGGGGTCAACATGCAAGTCCCCCTGGGGGAGGCTGGGGCCCTGGGTTCCCGGTACCAACTGGGCAGGATCCAAGATGAAAGCATCTTCAAAGGGTCCTGGGCCCCACCAGGAAACTTAAGAATGTGTCCTAGTAGTTACTCAGGTGGCCTCCACCAGAGGAGACCCTCAGAGCGGGGCCTGGGCAGGCTGTTGCAGGGACCCAGGGCACAGGGCAGTGCCACTCAGGGAGGGGTGGGTGTCCTCCCACAGGCCTCCTCAGGAGGGGCCTGTAGATCAGGTCCCAAGCAATCAGGACACAGCCTCCTCGGGGACAGAGGAGGCCAAAGGATGTGGGTGTTGGGGTGCAGAATGCCAGGACAGCAGGAGAGCAGCCACAACGGGCCTGAGTCCAGCCCCTTCACCCCTTCCCAGGGCCTACCCTGCTCCAGTGAGGCAGGGGGTGTGAGAGTTCAGAGGACTCAGTGGTGGGGAGTTTGCCCCCTGCTTCGGGGAGCCAGAATGGTGGGCAGAGGTCCACATTGCCAGTGAGCGCCCAATCAGCTTGTCTAGTTGAGACGGAGTAGATGCAGACCCCATGACTATAGGGGATGCACAGAGAGATTGCGCGAAGGAAATGTCACCTTGTAACTTGGGTTGCTTTTTATTTTCTTTTTAATTTTCTGGATCCCATTACTTTTTGCTACTGTTTTTGGTGTTGTTGTTTTTCCTTTTTAAATGACAATAAAGCATCTTAACAATTCCGTGACTCGCTGGAGTCTCCGTGTGTTGGGACGCCTCACACGCTCCCAGCACCAGAACCTGCCAGCCCCCCATATCCTCATGCCCTCCATTCCCAGTGGCCCCTGGGCTCCCAGAGGGTGAGGAAGACCCAGAAACCAGGGGGCACCGGGGCACACAGGCACCTGCAGCAAGAAGCAGGACTGCCCGTGGCCAGAACCAAGATGCACATGATGGGAGTGTCAGTCAGCATAGACAGGCGGCTGAAACAGGAGACAGAGATTCTGTCCCCATCCTGGAGCCAGAGGTCCCAGAGCCGGTGTGGCAGGGCTGGCCCTCTGAGGTGTCCCTCCTGGGCGTGGGGACGGACACCTCCTCTGTGTCCTCACATGGCCGTCCCTCCCTGTGTCTGTGTCGCAATATCCTCCTCTTGTAAGGATGCCAGTCAGACTGGATTAGGACCCACGCTGTGGACCTCATACTAACTTACCACCTCCTCAAAGACCCAATTTCCAAACACAATCACGTTCCAAGGCGCTGGGGGTTAGGACCTCAACACGTGAATGTAGGGACACAGTTCAGCCTCACACGCGAGTGGGTGCCAGGAACAAGGGTCAAGTGGAAGGGCCAGTGAAGACCAGGCCAGAAGGGACACCTGTTCCGGGGTCAGCACAGATCCAAGCAGCAAGCAATTATCAGGGAAGAGGTCCTGTGACCTAATCTTGGCTTAGGTTTGCACAGGGAGAAGGCAATTCCCAGGAGGGTGAAGGGCCAAGGGGCTCCAGGAAGGGTGATGAAGGGCGGTCCAAGCAGGTGCCACAAGCTAACGGCTCGCTGGCCGGCAGTGGCGGAGTCAGGGCTGTCCTTCAGAGACGGGACCAGGCCCACCCTTTCCGGTGAGGCCCTTGGGCTGTAGAAACACAGCCTATACGGGCCAAGGCAGCACTCAGGTGTCCGCCTTCTCAGTTAAGCTCAGAGGTAGGAGGCAGGCATGCCAGGTGTTGGCCAGGACAGGTTTCATGCCCTGGGGTGAGCTCCAGGATGGGGGGCATTTGTGAAGGGCCTCTGCCAGCACGTCCCGGGAGGCCCAAAGCCATGGGGAGGTGCCCTTCCCATTTCCTGTGAGTGGGGGAGGGAGGGCTTCATGCAGCCAAGGGATGTCATCACTCCAGCAGCAGCTGGATCACATGCGGGAGCCTGGCAGTATGGCCAGCATGGGCCCAGGGCCACATATTGCCCATAGGGCCCTGGCCAGGCAGGCTGTGGGTCTCCAGACTCCAGGGCCCCAGGTGGTAGAACTGAGGGTCACCCCACCTGCTCTGTCACTTGTGCCCAGCCCAGCCCCTTCTCCCTCTCTGTCCCCAGGCCCACCCCTCACTTCTATCATCGGGACCAAGGCATGCACCTCCAGCCAGCCCACACCTCCCTTGGGGTCACACCCCCCCACCATGGACTCAGTGGCTTCCTCACTGAACCGGAGACCCTGGCTTGGTCTAAAACCACAGTCCTTGGGGCAGGAAAGTCCTCAGGAACTATGCCAGGAACCCCTCAGTCTCCCACCCATGACCTCCCAGCAACACTGCATCACAGGAGACCCCACCTCTCCCACTGTCTGCCTGCCCTTTAACCCCTGTAGCTGCAGCCATGTGAGCACTGAGGACCCTCCTGACCACATGCAGGCCCCAACTCTGAGCACTGGCTCTGAACTGCACACCTCTGTCACTGGTTTACACACTCACAAGCACTCACAGAGGCTTGCCCTCACTCAGAGGACCTCACATTGCACATAATACCCCATTCTCACTCTGTCTGCCACCAAGGTCTGTCAGGGTACCTCATCTCTGAGCCTTTGCTCAAATACACTCCCTACCACAGGGCACAACACACTCCCTGCCCACACTTACCTGGCCACCCAGAGCAGGACTCACATGTGTCTCTCTCCCTGGAGCCCACAGCTCCTCTGGCCTATCCCGTCACCATGGCTCCAGAAGACGCCTGATTGAAGGTGCAGCAGGGCCTGGCAGACCCAGCCTGGGACCTGTACACATGGGGGCTGGAAGTGGAGGGGATGACATAGGCCATAGCATCAGCATGATCTGAGGCTCCTTGACCTTCTTTCCTTGTAATGTCCTTCAAGCAAAACTCCAGACCGGTTGGTCTCGTGTGTCCCTGTCTGTCTGATTTTGAGGTCCATTTACAGATTTGACAATTCTGAAGAGTAAGAAAGAGCAGAGGATGAGAGGTTTAGGGAGGCCCTCCTCCTGAACTGTAACATATGCACAAATACCATTGTAAAAAGCACGTTGCCCCTGTGCAGACTACCAGACCCAGGGGCCGGGGGCTCAGACACGGCGTGGCTGTTGGCAGACATGTGGTGCACAGGGAGTGCAGCCAGGTCGGGTGCGGGGACATGGGGGAAAGCATGGGAGTGGGGGAAACTGAGCCAGGATGGCTGCTTCGCACCCTGTGGGGTGGGCTGTGGGAGCCCCGCTGGAGGACCGCCTCCACCTGGATGCCACTTGAAGCCGACAGAAACTGGACCCACCGGGCGGGAGGACCTGGAGACGGCCTCAGCCTGGGTAACTCATTTGGAAGTAGGACCTTTGCAGATAAAATTAGCGTAAGGGTCTGAAGATCATACTAGATTTTGGACGGGTCCCAAGTCCAATGATGGGTGGCCTTCAAAGAAGACATGACACACAGAGACACATGAGGCAGGAGGCCACACAAAGACAGAAGCACTGATTGGAGTGGCGTCAGTAGCTTCCAGGTGTCCCTGCAGCCTTCAGAGGGAGCTCAGGCCGGCTCACACCTTGCTGGTGGACTGCTGCCATCCTGAATGGCAGGGGACACGTTCCTGCGGTTCTAAGCCCCGACATTTGAGTCACTCTGTTACCAGAGCCACAGGACACTCTTACAGCTGGTAACAGGGCTCTCCAACTGCTGTAGGCAAAGCCCGAGGGTGAATAGCTGATGACTTTGACTGCATGGAAATCAAGAATTTTTGTGAAATTGCCCTGGGTGCGTATGTAAGTTGGTTGTAGCATCTCCCCAAAGGCCAAGGTTACAGGTTCAATCCCTGGTCAGAGTACATACAGGAGTCAACCAATGAATGCATCAATATGTGCAACAACACATTAATCACTCTCTCTCTCTCTCTCTCTCCCCCCCCCTCCTCTCTCTCTCTTCTCCCCCCTGCTTCCTCTTTCTCTAAAATCAATCTATCAATCACTAAATAAGAATTCCTATTAAGTGAAGGCCATGATAAGCAACATGAAGGGACAGGGATTAACTGGTACAAGTCTTCGTAAACTTAAAACTAATCAGGAAACGGCATTTGGAATGACTGCCTCTCACAGTCCCAAGGGATCGCCAAGAACACCTCTAGGGAACATGGTAAGAGCAAAAACAAGGACGTGCAGATGGCTTCCGAGTGTCTAAGGAGACACTCAAGCTCCTGAGTGATGGGAGCATTTAAATGAGAACAGGAGACTCTGCTTTCCAGCAATCAGAGCACGGCTCCCTCAAGGGGAAGTTAAGGGCCCAGTGCAGCCCTGCCCTGGGTGGAGTGAGCACACAGCAGGGGGCCTGGGGTGGTTCAGTCGGTCCCAGGAAGGACATGGATCCAGGCCAGCCCCTGGGAACAGGCACTCTATGGAGAGACCAACACATTTGTGGGGCTGCCATTGGGGCCACTGCCAAGGTCAACAAAGGGATTAGCTGGTCTCAATGCCCAGGAGAACTCTGGGGTCTGGCCTTTGACATGGAATGCTGAGCTGAATCTGGGGGGTCTGAAGGGTGCCGCTGTTCTGTGCGTACAGGTCTGAGAAGCACTTGCAGCCCTGCTCCCTCCAGGGAGCCCATTGGTCCCTGCTGTCCCCACAGGCCTAACCTTGTGGCCTGGCCTCCAAAGGGGGTTTCAAGCTGCTCAAGCTCAAAGCTCACTCAACCCTTGCTCTCTGTCCAGGCCCTGTCTAACCTCCTGCCAGTCTCCACACCCCAGCTCCTTGGACACTTTCTAACCAAGTGAGATCCTGCTCTGGGTCCTCCTTACTTGGCTTGTTAAGGAGCAGGAAGCCTCAGCGGGCCCTGCCCAGTCTCCCACCTCCAGGCTTCACCATGTCCTCCAGCACAGGGGGCTGCACTGAGGGCTCCTGTGGACACCGAGCAACACTGCCCGCCGGGGACAGCTGCATCTGGATGAGCAGCAGCTCTGTCCTTGCATGTGCAGCCCTCACCTTGTGGTGTGCTCCTCGGCCAGCAGGGCTTCCCAGGGCAGTGGTAGGAGGGCACGTCTTCCTCCCCAGCGCACATACACACATGGAGGCACGTGCACATGTGCATTTTACATGACTGTATGCACTCACACATGCATGCACAGACATGTGTGCACCAAGACACAGGCAAATGCATGTCATGTCGGTGCACATGCCACGCGTTTGCAGTGATGTGCATGCACACAGAGACATGTGTATGTGTGTGCGTGATACAATGAAACAGAGATGCACACACACACATGTTTAACATCCCACTGATACTTGTACCCACATACGCATGCACACATGTGTGCCCATAGAGACACATGCAGGTGTGCATGTCCCACAGATGCACACACTCACATATGGTGCACAGTTGAGACATGTGCATGTCACACATGCACAAACCACTCCCATGCACACATGTATCCCCATGGAGAGGCAAGCATGTGCATGTCACACAGGTGTACTCACTCACATGGTGTGCCCAGTTGAGGCACAGCTTGTTTAGATGCAAGCTCTGTCCTGAGTCCTCCAGCACAGGAGCAATAAGACGGAGCCCCAGCCGGGGGCTGAGGAGGCTGCAGCATGCAACTTCTGGGTAGGGGGCATCCACACCCAGCCCCAGACAGAAGGGGCATATCATGGGTGTAGCCTCGAGGCTGGGGCAGGGACACAGTAGCAAGGAGGAAGGGGCAGCACAGACTGTGTGCCTAGAGCCAGCTGACCTGAGGGAGCCGTTCTGCTCCAAGATCAAAGGACCCCAGCGGCGGCCAAGGCTGGAGACAGGGCCCACTTACCACATGCCCCTCTTCTCAGCACCAGCAGCCCAGCACTGGGCTGCTTTGTATGCACAGGTCCTAGTCAGCCAACACTCCCAGGCTGGGCTGCTTTGTATACACAGGTCCTAGTCAGGCTGGTCCAACTGTGTAGAGCAGAGGTAGCCTGGATTGGACTGTCCTAGGTTGGCTGGGCTGAGCTGGACACACCTGAGCCAAACAGGTGTGTCCAGCTCACCTGTTTATGTTATGGGACATAAGGACAGAGCCAGGAGGCTGGCTCAGCACTGCAGCCCAGGCCCCAGAGGCCCACAGCCCAGGGAGAGTGGGCAGGAGTGGCCTGGGGCCAGGGCAGCCCAGGGGAGCCCCCAGCCCTGCATAGTCTCACCTGTGCAGTCTACAAGCCTGGGGCCCCTCACCTGGGCCCACACTGCTGCCCAGCTGGGGCTCTGCCTGCTCTAGCCTTATGGTTTCTCTCAGCATCACAGGTTCTTCCAAGGAACTCTGTATTCCTCATTCTGCCATCCACATGGCATCTGCCCCCGGGGCTAAGGGCAGGGTGTGACACAGCAAGACAGAGGCCTCCAGCTGGGTCCTGCTCTATGCACTTGCTCAGCATGCCCAGCCAGGACTGCCACGCAGCAGCCCTGGGTCTTCCCAGGTCACCAGGCATGGTGGAGCCATCCCCATGCAGACTCCCTGCAAGAGGACCACTGGCCCAAGACTTCCCAAGTCCAGGGGTTGAGGACCTGATGTCTCCCACTCTGAAGCTCTCACGTCTTCACCCAGCAGTCCCATCAATGAGCAGGGCCGGCATCTGCATGTGTGGTGGGGATCTTCAGGAGGTTCTGGGGACACACAGGCCTGCTGCACATGTCCACAACATGAGACAAAGAACATGTCCATGCAGCATTGGCAGTGGGTTGGCTGCTTCAAAATGTCAGGGCTGGATGCCACGGGCACCTCTAGGCCTTTCTGTGGTCCCCACACCCTGGGCGGCCACCGGCAGCAGGGATGCCCCCCCTGGCTTTTTGGCTGCAGGGGCCTTGCAGAGCCACCTGCCAACTTCACAGTCACACCAACCCCCAGGTCCCTCTGACCCTCACTGACCATGCCACCAGTTGCAACCCTAGTGGGGGCCCAGCTGCAGGACAGAGACATGGGAGCACATGTCCAGGGCCCCTAGGGACCTGTAGAATTGCACACATACACCCAGGAGAGCCACATGTGGACAGCAGGCCCTGCATCCACAGCTGCGCACGTGGCCCACCAGGCCTCCATGTGCCAGGCACAATAGCCACAGCCCTTTCTTGCCAGGGAGCGGTGGTGGCCCTGGCATCTACTCCGTCCTCGGGGCAGTGGGTGAACCCCTTGGGTGCTGACAACCTCGGGGAGCTGGTCACGAGCTGGGCAGTGAAGGCAGGGCCAAGGTGCAGAGCCAAAGGACCACAAGGATGGCGAGGGTACAGGAGCCTCGCTGAGTCGGCCTCTCCATCAGCTTCCCGAGAACACAGAGAGAAGGGGACTCCCAGGGCTGCGGAAGCCCTGGGGGTTCCCACTCCATTTTTAGCGGAGAGCACTGAGGCAGAGCTCCCCTCCCCCAGCCTCGTCATCTGGACATAAAAATAACAACTATGATTTCTAAAGACTGACTTCTCCTGGGAGCCTATCCAGGGGGCCGCAGACAGCACGGATGGGCCAGGCCGGTCGCCACACCAACGACACACCTAACAGGATCCTTGCCCTCCAGGTGCCCCAGCTCTGGGACTGGTCCAGGCAGCCCTGAGGGCAGGCTGCCGGGCTACAGCCAGGACGAGGAACATGACTGCCCACGAGCAGGGACTGAACCTCTTCGTCACAGTTTCTCTCTCAGAGGTGCCAGGGAGAGGCACAAGGAAGCAAGGGAAGCAAGGAAAGACCAAAGCCAAACTGGAGAAGACAAAGAGCCAAGACCCTCGGAGAGGACAAGGCTGGGCAGGGCCCAAGGCCAAGCATCAGGAATCATGTGTGGACAGTGGGTTTGATGAAGATCTGCCAAGGGGGCAGCCACCAGCCAGAGGAACAGCACAGAGCTAGCCGTCCCTGTTCCAGACGACACCGCAGGCCGCCCTGTGGCAACATCTCCTGTCCTGAGCTGGGCAGGCCTGACAAAGAGGGGTCTGGGCTGAGCTGGCTTGTGCCAACTGTGGCTTGAGTGCACTTGAGTCATTTAAAGGGGCACCAGGTACCCTTGGCTCTATGGGGCCAGGCTGGTCAATCTGGGCAGGCCTCAGCCATACTGGCCTGTGATGGACTGAGGTGGGCCAGACTGTGCTGAGCTGGGCTCTCCCAGGCTGGGCTGCTTTGTATGCACAGGTCCTAGTCAGGCTGGTCCAACTGTGTAAAGCAGAGGTAGCCTGGACTGGACTGTCCTAGGTTGGCTGGGCTGAGCTGGACACACCTGAGCCAAATGATGCTGACTTGAACTTGGCTGCAGTCCTCTGAGCTGAGTGGGAAAGAGTCAGAAGCTGGGCTCAGCAGCATAGGGTCAAGCTAAGGTAGGCTAGGTGGGTGGAATAGGCCACCTTGGCCTACCTCGGCACAGCTGTGTGAGATGGAGCTCTTCTTTGTTCAGCATGTCATACCTGGGCAAGGCTTAGCTGAGCTGAGCTGCAATGACATGGCCTGAACTGGGCTGAAATAGGGTGAGCTGAGCTGGGCTGAATGGAGCTGAGCTGAACTCAGATGAACTGGGCTGACCTGGGCTGAACTGAACTAAAAGCTGAAGAAATGAGCAGGAATGACCTGGGGGTGAGAGGGGCTGAGCAGGGCTGAACTGGACTGAACTGGGCAGAGCTGAGCTGACTGGGCTGAGCTGGGCTGGGCTTGGCTGAGCTGGGCTGAGCTGGAACTAACTGGGCAGAACTGAGCTGAGCTGTGCTGGATTGATCAGAACTTAACTGAGCAAAACTGGGCTGATCTGAGCTGGGCAAGAATGAACTGGGTTCAGCTGGTCTGGGCTGAGCTAACCTGGGTTAAGCTGAGCTGAACCTGGCTGAGCTGAGCTGGGCTTAACTGAACTGGAATTAACTGAGCTGAGCTGAGCAGAGCTGCAATGACATGGCCTGAACTGGGCTGAAATAGGCTGAGCTGAGCTGGGCTGAATGGAGCTGAGGTGAATTCAGATGAAGTGGGCTGAACTGAACTAAAAGCTGAAGAAATGATTGGGACTGACCTGGGGCTAAATTGTGGCTAAGCTGGACTGAGCTGGGCTGAACTGGACTGAACTGGGCAGCGCTGAGCTGGGCTTGGCTGGATTGAATGGAACTGAGCTGAGCTAAACTGGAGTGAACTGGGTTAAACTGGGCTGGGCTGGGCTGCGCTGGCTGAGCTGAACTAGAATTAATAGGGCTCAGCTGAGCTGAGCTCAGCTTGACTAAGCTGATCTGAACTGGAATTAACAGGGTCGAACTGGACTGGGCTAGCTGAGCTGAGCTGACTTGGGTTAAGCTGAGCTTAACCTGGCTGAGCTGACTGGGATGAGCTGAGCTGGGCTCGGCTGGGCTCAGCTGGATTGAACAGGGCTGAGCTGAGCTAAGCTGCGCTGATCTGACCTGAGCTGAAATGAACTGGGTTGAAATGGACTGGGCTGGGCTGGTTGAGCTGAGCTGAACCTTGCTTAGCTGAGCTGGGCTGAGCTGAACTGGTATCAACTGGGCTGAGCTGAAGTTGGCAGAACTAAACTGAGCTGGCCTGGATTGAACAGGACTGAGCTGAACTAAGGTGGACTGGCCTGAGCTGAGCAGGAATGAACTGGGTTGAACTGGGCTGGGATGGCTGAGCTGGTTGAGCTGAGCTGAGCTGAAATGGAATTAACTGGACTGAGCTGAGCCAAGCTGGATTGAACTAGGCAGAACTGAGCTGGGCTGGTTTGAACATGGCTGAGCTAGAATGAACTGGGTTGAACTGTGCTAGGCTGGCTGAGCTGAGCTGAGCTGAGCTGAACTGGAATTAACTGGGCTGAGCTGAGCTGAGATGGGCTGAATTGAATGCAGCTGAGCTGAGCTAAACTGGGTCTACTGGAGCTGAGCTGAAATGAACTGGTTTTAACTGGGCTGGGCTGGCTGAGCAGAGCAGAACTGGGTTAAGCTGAGTGAACCTGGCTCAGCTGAGCTGGGCTGAGCTGAGCTGGACTGAGCTGGAATGAACAGTGCAGAACTGAGCTGAGATGGGCTGGATTGAATGCAGTTGAACTGAGCTAAACTGGGCTGATCTGAGCTGAGCTGGAATGAACTGGGTTGAACTGGGCTGGGCCGGGCCAGCTGAGCTGAGTTGAACTGGAATTAATTGGACTGAGCTGGGCTGAGATGGGCTGAATTGAATGGAGCTGAGATGAAATAAACTGGGTTGAATGGACTGGGGGCTGGTTTAGCTGAGCTGACCTAGGTTAAGCTGAGCTAAATCTGGCTGAGCTGAGCTGGGCTGAGCTGAACTGGGATTAACTGAGCTGAGCTGACAGGGCTGAGCTGGGCTGAAGTGGACTGGGCTGAATGGGACTAAGGTGGACTGAACTGTGCTGAGCTGTGCAGAACTGGACTCAGCGTGGTCAACAGGGTGGTGTTTTTTATGAGTCCCCATTGAACTAACATAGCTGTGGTAAAATTGAGTTCAACTCACTGAGGAAGCTGTCCTTGGATGGCAGGTTGAATTGCGCTGTGTCAAACAGTTTGGTTTAGTTTTGAGGGCAGATGAGACTCAGAGCTGGAAATGCCCTCTTCCAGGCTCACCTGGATGAGGATGGCCTTCTTGGGCTCTGTAGAGTAGAGCCAGACAGAAATGGGCTGGGCTGGGCTGGGCTGGAAGCACAGAGCCTGGTGGGGTTGCTGGTGCCAGCTGTCCTGATGCGGGGCCGTCGGGACCACAGGAGCCGAGTGGAGCATGGTGGGCACAGCTGGGGAAGGACAGGATGGGCTGAGGCCCAAGGTTCCCAGGCCAGGAAGGGGCTGGCAGGGTTGCCCACTGGGGGAGGACCACCAGTGGGCCCTGAAGGGCCCTGCCATCTCTCCATGGAGCCTAGGGTGGGCTCCCTTGGGGGTCAGCAGGGAGGGGAGAGCACTAGGTAAGCCTGGCTGCTCAGAAACAAGTAGAGAAAAGGACACCCACAGTTGCAAGAAGCAGAGCCCATGAGCAGCAGATGGAATGGAGGAGGGGACACACTCGTGATTCTAGAAGCGTGGGGGTCTCAGGACCACAGGCCTGATGGGAGGGCTTGGGGTAGGGGCAGAGGGGACATCTTGCCAGTCCCTGGGGGCCTCGGGCTCCCTGCTCCCCAGTGGGGAACCGTGGGCTCTGAGCCTCAACCTGGATGGATGGCTGCTGCTGGTGCTGCCTGAGAGCCCATGTCCTGGCCATTCAGGTGCAAGGCGTGGACCTGACCAAGGAGGGGTGCAGCACCAGCTTCCAGTGGGGCCCAGGGCTCACCGGGAGTGTTCAGGAGGAATGAGCCCAAAATTAGCCTGGGCTGTCCTGTCCCCAGAGCTAGAGCCAGACTCCAGTGCTCCATGCACTAGACCACCCAGGCTCTGCACCTCAGCCCACCCTCCCAATCTCCCTGAGGTCAGAGGTGAACCAGCATTGACCTGGTCCTGGTTCCATCCCACAGCCCCCACGCAGGGCCCGTCCGTCTTCCCCCTGGTCCCCTGCCCCAGCAGCATCGGCGAGGCAAGCGCCCCTGTGACCCTGGGATGCCTGGTCAAAGACTACAACCCGGAGCCCGTGAACGTGACCTGGGATGCGGGGTCCCTGGAAATAAACGTCACAACCCTCCCTGCCACCGTCGACTTGACCTCCGGCCTCTACACCACCTCCAGCCACATGACCACTGCCTCAGACGAGTGGGCCACACAGGAGTTCACCTGCACCGTGGAGCACGCCGAGTCTGCCCCTGTGAAAGTGACCATGGGCCGTAGGGAAGGTGGGCCCAACTGCCACCAGGGGCGGCTGTTAGGGGACGAGGGGCAGGCTGGAGGGTGTGAGGGGCATCCGACTCAGAGCCCTAAGGCCCTGGGCTGGGAAGTGGGATTCAGAGGCTCAGAGAGGTCAACATCAGGCCTGCCACCTGTGTCCCCAGTGTGCTCCACCAATGTCACCCAACCCACCGTGAAGCTGTACCATTCCTCGTGCGACCCTAGCAGCAACAGCCATGCCATCATTCAGCTCCTGTGCCTCATCACTGACTTCACCCCGGGTGACATCAAAGTCACCTGGCTGGTGGATGGGCAGAAGGCCAGGCACATGTTCTCACACACCAGCACCCCCAAGCGGAAGGGCAGCCTGTCCTCCATCATCAGCCAGCTCAACATCACCCAGGGCGAGTGGGTGTCCGGGAAAACCTACACCTGCCAGGTCCACTATCAAGGCTGCACCTTTAAGGAACATGCCCTCAACTGCGCAGGTACAGCACCCCCATGCAAACACCCCAACACTCAGGGCTGAGAGGGGCCCGGCATGGCCTCACGCAGCCCCTCCCCACACACCACAGAGTCCGAGCCCCGTGGCATGAGCGTCTACCTGATCCCGCCCAGCCCCCTCGACCTCTACGTCCACAAGTCACCCAAGATCACCTGCCTGGTGGTGGACCTGGCCAGCGTGGAGGGTGTGGATCTACAGTGGTCCCGGGAGAGCGATGGCCTTGTGAAAGACACCACGATGAACAGCAAGCGCCAGTTCAACTTGACTTACACCATCACATCGACCCTGCCAGTGGAGGCCGATGACTGGATCGAGGGTGAGACCTACACATGCAAGTTGAGCCACCCGCAACTGCCCAAGGAGATTGTACGCACCATCGCCAAGGCCAACGGTCAGCCTCCAGCCAGGGGGCGGGGTGGGTCCTTGCTGGAACCTGGGCTGACACCACACCTGTCCACAGGCAAGCGTGCTGTCCCCGAGGTCTATGTGTTCCTGCCACCCGAGGAGGAGCAGAAGACCAAGCACATGGTCACCCTCACCTGCCTGATCGAGAATTTCTTCCCCGCGGACATCTCAATCCAGTGGCTGCGCGATGGCTCCCTGATCCAGACGGACCAGCACGTCACCACGTGGCCCCTCGAGGTCAACAGCTCCAGCCACACCTTCTCTGTCATCAGCCGCCTGAAGGTCAGCCGGGCAGACTGGGAGAAGAGGATCCAATTCACCTGCCAGGTGGTCCACGAGGCTCTGGCAGGCTCTCGGACCCTCAAGAAATCAGTGTCCAAAGCCCCTGGTAATTGATGCTCTCCCCCCACTCCTCCTCAGGCTCCACCCATCCTGTTGGGACAGGGAGGGCGCCGGCCAGCCCCTCTGCTCAGTGTTGTCAATAAATATCCAGTGCCTGTGCGGAGCCCTGGCTGCGCATTCTTGGGGGTGGGCAGGGCCGGAGGCAAGGGTGTTTAGGCCCAAGGAAAGGATGCCCAGGAAGGGGCTGAGAGGTGGGGCCCTGCTGAGATGTGGCTCAGTCCACATCCCCATTAACATCAGGGGTCCCCCCGCCACCCCACTGTGGATCCTGCCCACTCAGCGCAGTCCTGACACCAGAGGGTGTTTTGCGGGGAGGGACGATGGAGGCCCCAGCTCAGCCCACAGCAGCTGCTTCTCAGAGGGCCTCGAAGACCTTGCTCTCTACCCTGGGCTCCTGTTGGCCCCACTGGACACAGACAAGCTCCCCAGCCCCAGGTCCAGCTGCACACACAGGCCCTTCCACTGGGAGGGACAGGCTGAACAAGGTGCCCGCACAGACACCAGCACACAGGGGCCCAGACAGCCCCACCCTCCAGTCCCCCGGCCAGCACGGCCTGAGCACGTGTGGGCAGGGACGGCCCAAACCCTCCCACACCAACGCCAAGCTCCCCCCACTCTGACCCTCGCTTCAGTCCCCCACAGATTGACCCCAGGGAAGGGCCTGGCCCTCACACGCACACTCCATGAGGCTCCCAGGTGGCCACACCCTCCGTGCCAACCCTGCACCCACAACAGTGCCAGCCCCCCCCAACCGCAGTGCCCACGTGGCAGACGCATCAGACGTACACTCTTGGGGAGCCTCCCTCGATCCACCTCTTCCCAGGCCATCCCTCGGCCCTTCCTCCCCACCACACCTGGGCCATGCGGTGCCAAGATGGTCGTGGAAAGGCCCCCACCACAAGCTGGGAGTCCAGCAGTCTACGCAGTGCCTCCTCCTGTGTCCCCAGCCTCCCCAGTCAAACCCTCTTTGGTAGTAAGCCCCACAGACAGACAGACAGACACCAACACAGACACAGACACACAAAGACACACAGGCATACAGACATACATGGTCCTAGACACGCACATGGACGCAATACACACTCACTAACACAGACAGGCATACATGGACACCTACACAGGTGACAAGCATGGACACAGACCCTGGGACACATAGTCACATATGGATAAAAACAGCTACAAAAGACACACACTGACACACATAGGCACACACACAGGGCATTCACTCTCCCAGGACATGGGCTCTCCCGCACCCCGGAGCAGACTCTTGGCCCCATCCCATGGCCTGGGGCCTGCAGGGATCAGGGTCAGAGACCAGGCCCACCCCAAGCCCCAAGCTCATGTCCATGTCCTTCCCCCAGACCCCACACTCTGTCCTACACATGCGCATGCACACACACACATTGTCAAGCACAAAAGCCCCCAAGGAATCCTGCATGGAAAGCAGCAAGTGCTAGCCTATGGTGCAAAGACACAACCCAGAGGAACCCAGCTGGTGCGCTCCATGCAAAGCCTGGCACCTGCACACTGGGGTGCCTCACTCCTCAGAGAGGGGACAGAGGGCAGCACTGGGGCCAGCTCAGAGCCAGAGGCAGCTGCAGGCTCCCAGGGCCAGGCCAGCCCCTGAAGTGAGGGCCAGTGTCTGAGGGGCTCAGACTCTCCTGGGGGCTCCGGGCGGCCAACACATGTGCCATTTGGAGGGGTCACCAGACCGGCAAGTGAGAAGCTGAGTCAGCACAGGGCTGGGGTGGGTGGGCAGAGCGGGGGCTGAGGCAAGGGGCCCCCGGGGCCAAGAGGGGGTGCTGGCAGTCTGGAGAGAAGCATGATGGGTAGAGGGAGAAAAAATGATGTGGGGTGGGGTCAGGAGATGGCAGAGGGCAGAGGGCAGAGCTCCCACACAGTCAGCCTTGGGGAGGCAGGGGTTTCCGATGTTAACCAGGCGGGGTTGGCTGGTGACTCTGAGAAGTCGCCGAGGGGGCTGGACAGGGACTTCCTGAGGCACCCAAGGCCGGGCAAGGCTGACCAGCAGGTGCCCACAGAGGTGGACCTCCAGGACCTGTGTGCCGGGGCGACCGAGAGTGAGGAGCTGGACGGGGTGTGGACCAGCCTCTACGTCTTCGTGGCGCTCTTCCTGGTCAGCGTGACCTACGGCGCCTCAGTCACACTCTTCAAGGTGGGACACGGCCCCTCTTCCAGGGTCGACAGTGGGCCGGGAGCCCAAGCGAGGCAGAGAGAGCCAGGGCAGGACCCCTCACGCACGCCCTCCTCGCAGGTGAGGTGGGTCTTGGCTGCCGTCCTGCAGGAGCCGCCCCAGGCCACCCACGACTACGCGAACATCGTGCAGCCGTGGGCCTGGGCCCAGAGCACCAGAGGCACCAGCCTGGCCGCCTTCCTCTCCATGTCTGAAAGCCACTGAGGCCACCTGCCTTGCTGCAGGGGAGACGGGGCAGACAATCCCCAAAAGGGCCAGAGCCAGAGACTTGACAACCAGCTCACGGGCACCTGGAGGGTTCCAGCTCAGACCCAGTCCAGGCACCAATGTGACCTGCCCATCCCAGCCCTGCTCCCACCCCACTTTGGGACAAGTGCCAGAACCGCATCTATCCTCTCGACGGAGCAGCCTGAGCTGGGCATGGGACGGCCGCCCTGGGCTTCGCCCAGGCCCCTGGGTTTGGGGCCACCCCATGCTGACTGGACAACTTCTGAAACACAGTGAGGCCTGGAGCCCATGGTCCGGCCCGCTACCCAGAGCCTGGAGCCAAACGGACCACTCCACGTCCAAGCTCAGCCTGATCCAACCTCCAAGACCAACGCTCAGAGTTCAGGGCAAACTGAGGGTTAGAGTCCAACCCCAACCCAAGGCCTCACTCCGTAGACTTGGTCCGACCCTCCCTGGCCCCAGGTCTGTGTGCCCGGCCCTTGTGCCGTGCCCTGTCCTGCTGCTTGCCCTTGCTGCCGTCCACCCCAACCCTGCCCTGCAGAATGTAGAGGCAGAGAAGCCCTTTTTGGGAGCATCCCTGAAGCTGTTTGGGGATCAGCGCAGGGCCCCACATGTGGGAGAAGGGGTCCTACGGATGCACACAGCAGCTGGCATGGTGCAATGGCCCCCGCCTCATCCACTGTGGCCTTGCTCCTGGCCTGGCAGTTCAGGTTCCTTTCCGGGGGATTTCTTAGTAAAGTTCTTCTTTAACAAACCCATGCCCTCTGAGTGTCTCTGTGGGGGATGCCTCTGGCCCTGTGGGGGTGTTCAGAAGAGCAATATCAGGCACTTAGGGGTCCATTAGGGCCCAAGTGGCCAGCGGCTGCCTACATGATCTCTTCAACACACCAGAAATGCCTCGGGGTGGTGCCCAGCATACCTGATCGCTGGCCTGCCTACTGGGCCCACTCACCCTTCCCACACTAACACAGGAGCCACAACCCCAAGCCCTGAGGTAAGTGCAGGGGCCACAGGAATGCAGCTGTCCACTCGCCAGGCAGGGGCCAGTGTCAGCCTCCAGGACCACTGGTCCCCCCCAGATTGGCCCACCCACTGGGCACACAGCATGCCAGACCTCGGCCCCTTGCTTCCCCAGCCAGCCTGGGTGTCCCAGGGGGCCAAGCAAGTGGCCGCAGCCAGCAAGAACTGTGGGGGCTGGCCACCATTGTCCCCAAGAAGTAACCTGGTGCACCAGAGGCAGGAGCCAGAGGCCTCCGGTGATAGCCACTAGGCCAAAAATGGGTTGCAGAGGTGTGAGGCAGAGCCCTTCTCCCAGGTAAAGAGGTAGTTTCCCTGGTCAGACAGACCTGCCCACAAGGATCTCTCTGAAGCCCACTGGGTATGGATGTAGAACATTTGAACACACATGATGAAGGGCTGGGCTCCACCATGTGCAGAGAGTGTTCATGAACCAATAGAAAGAGGAAAGTGAGCCACAAGTCCCTGGCAGCAAGGAAAAGCCAAGTAGCCAAGAATAGGAAGAACATGTTTCCATAGCTAGAAAAGTGAGGAGGAAACCAGGGCTGGGTCTGAGTGTGCTTGGGGGCACCTCGCCCTGCCTGAGGTGTGGGAGCAGAGGAGAGCATTCTTCAGGTGGGCACTGGCCACAGTGCTCATGGACAAACCGCCAAGCCCTTTGGATGGGAGACTCCATGCTTTCCGATGGCCCTTCACAGAGCCAGGCTCTGGGGGTCTGTCATGGGGTCTCATTGCTGAGCCTTTGAGCACATCCCCTCCCTCCGGCAGTGCACATCATGCTCCCCACCCCACATGTATGTGGTCCTATGGAGCCAGACCCACATATGTCTCTCTCCCTGAAGCCCACAGTTCCTCTGGCCTATCACGTCACCATGACTCCAGAAGATGCCATGGTGAGGGTGCAGCAGGGCCTGGTGGACTCGGCCTGGGACCTGTACACATGGGGGCTGGATGGGGAAGGGATAAGTGGGTCAGAGCATCAGCATGACTTGGAGTTCTATGACCCGCTTGCCTATCCACGTCCTCCAGTCAAAACTCCAGAAGGGTTGGTCTTATGTGTCCCTGTCTGTCTGATTTTGAGGTCCATTTACAGATTTGACAATTCTGAAGAGTAAGAAAGAGCAGAGGATGAGAGGTTTAGGGAGGCCCTCCTCCTGAACTGTAACATATGCACAAATACCATTGTAAAAAGCACGTTGCCCCTGTGCAGACTACCAGACCCAGGGGCCGGGGGCTCAGACACGGCGTGGCTGTTGGCAGACATGTGGTGCACAGGGAGTGCAGCCAGGTCGGGTGCGGGGACATGGGGGAAAGCATGGGAGTGGGGGAAACTGAGCCAGGATGGCTGCTTCGCACCCTGTGGGGTGGGCTGTGGGAGCCCCGCTGGAGGACCGCCTCCACCTGGATGCCACTTGAAGCCGACAGAAACTGGACCCACCGGGCGGGAGGACCTGGAGACGGCCTCAGCCTGGGTAACTCATTTGGAAGTAGGACCTTTGCAGATAAAATTAGCGTAAGGGTCTGAAGATCATACTAGATTTTGGACGGGTCCCAAGTCCAATGATGGGTGGCCTTCAAAGAAGACATGACACACAGAGACACATGAGGCAGGAGGCCACACAAAGACAGAAGCACTGATTGGAGTGGCGTCAGTAGCTTCCAGGTGTCCCTGCAGCCTTCAGAGGGAGCTCAGGCCGGCTCACACCTTGCTGGTGGACTGCTGCCATCCTGAATGGCAGGGGACACGTTCCTGCGGTTCTAAGCCCCGACATTTGAGTCACTCTGTTACCAGAGCCACAAGACACTCCTATAGCTGGTAACAGGGCTCTCCAACTGCTGTAGGCAAAGCCTGAGGGTGAATAGCTGATGACTTTGACTGCATGGAAATCAAGAATTTCTGTGAAATTGCCCTGGGTGCGTATGTAAGTTGGTTGTAGCATCTCCCCAAAGGCCAAGGTTACAGGTTCAATCCCTGGTCAGAGTACATACAGGAGTCAACCAATGAATGCATCAATAAGTGAAACAACACATTAATCTCTCTCTCTCCCCCCTGCTTCCTCTTTCTCTAAAATCAATCAATAAATAAGAATTTCTGTTAAGTGAAGGCCATGGTAAGCAAAGTGATAGGACAGGGATTAACTGGTAAAAAGTCATCACAAATTTAAAAGTAACCAGGGAAAGGCATTTGGAATGAGTGCTTTGCAGAGTCTCAAGGGATCACCAAGAAAGCCTCTAGGAAACATGGTAAAAGCAAAGACAAGGAAGTGCAGATATCTTCCGAGTATGCGAGGAGAACTCAAGCTCCTGAGTGATGGGAGCATTTAAATGAGAACAGGAGATGCTGCTTTCCAGCAATCAGAGCATAGCTCCCTCAGGGGGAAGTTAAGGGCCCTGTGCAGCTCCGCCCTGGGTGGAGTGAGCACACGGCAGGGGGCCTGGGGTGGTTCAGTCGGTCCCAGGAAGGAGATGGGTCCAAGCCAGCCCCTGAGAACAGGCACTCTGTGGAGGGACCAACGCATTTGCGGGGCTGCCTTTGGGGCCTCTACCAAGGTCAACAAAGGGATTAGCTGGTCTCAATGTCCAGGAGAACTCTGGGATCTGGTCCCCAACACGGGTGCCGGGGATGCTGAGCTGAGTCTGGGGGGTCCGAAGGGTGCCGCTGTCCTGTGCGTATGGGTCTGAGAAGAGCTTGCAGCCCTGCTCCCTCCAAGCAGCCCATTGGTCCCTGTTGTCCCCACAGGCCTAACCTTGTGGCCTGGCCTCCAAAGGGGGTTTCAGCTGCTCAGGCTCAAAGCCCACTCAGCCCGTGCTCTCTGGCCAGGCCCTGTCTAACCTCCTGCCATTCTCCATACTAGAGCTCCTTGGACACTTTCTAACCAAGTGGGATCCTGCTCTGGGTCCTCCTTACTTGGCTTGTTAAGGAGCAGGAAACAGTGCACCCTGCCCAGGCTCCCACCTCCAGGATTCACCACATCCTCCAGCACAGGGGGCTGCACTGAAAGCTCCTGTGGACACTGAGCAACACTGCCCGCCAGGGACAGTTGCATCTGGATGAGCAGCAGCTCTGTCCTTGTGTGTGCTGCCCCCACCTTGTGGTGTGCTCCTCGGTCAGCAGGGCTTTCCAGGGCAGTGATAGGAGGGCACGCCTTCCTCCCCCATGCACACGCACACACAGAGGCACGTGTACACATGCATGTCACACAGCTGCATGCACCCACACACACATGCACACACGTGTGCAAACTGAGACACAGGCAAGTGCATGCCATGCCAGTACACATGCCAAGCTTTGGCAGAGATGTGCATGCACATAGGGACATGTGCATGCATGTACATAGTACATACAGTGGTGCACACATGCACATATTTTATGTAACACTGATGTGCACACATGTACACATGTATGCCCATGGAGACACCCACATGTGCATGTCACACAGCTGCATGCGCTCACATGCTGTGCCCAGCCGAGGCACAGCTTGTTCAGATGCAGGTTCTCTCTTGAGTCCCGCAGCACAGGGGCAACAGCGTGGGGTCCCAGCAGGAGGGCCGAGCAGGCTGCAGCATGAGCCTGTGGGGTGGGGGCATCCACCCCCAGTCTTGGACAGAAGGGGCAGGTCAGCGGTGACTCTTCAAGGCTGGAGCAGGGACACAGCCACAGAAAGAAACAGGACAGCACAGTCTGTGTGCCCAGAGGCAAGCTTACCTGAGGGAGCTGTTCTGCTCTGACATCAAAGGACCCCAGCGGTGGCCAAGACTGGAGACAGGGCCCACTTACCACATGCCCCTCTGCCCAGCACCAGCAGCCCAGCACGTGCTGGGACATGAGGATGGAGCCAGGAGGCTGACTCGGGGCTAAGACCCAGGTCCCCGAGACCCACAGCCTAGGGAGAGTGGGCAGGAGTGGCCTGGGGCCAGGGCAGCCCAGGGGAGCCCCCAGCCCTGCATAGTCTCACCTGTGCAGTCTACAAGCCTGGGGCCCCTCACCTGGGCCCACGCTGCTGCCCAGCTGGGGCTCTGCCTGCTCTAGCCTTGTGGTTTCTCTCAGCATCACAGGTTCTTCCAAGGAACTCTGTATTCCCCATTCTGCCGCCCACATGACATCTGTCCCCAGGGCCAAGGGCAGGGTGTGACACAGCAAGACAGAGGGCTCCAGCTGGGTCCTGCTCTGTGCACCTGCTCAGCACACCCAGCCTGGCCTGCTATGCAGCATCCCTGAGTCTTCTCAGGCCACCAGGGATGCCATCCCCACGCAGCCTCCCTGCAAGGGGACCACTGGCCCAAGACTTCCTAGGTCCAGGGGTTGAGGACCTGATGTCTCCCGCTCTGAAGCTCTCATGTCTCCTCCAGCAGTTCCACCAACAAGCAGGGCTGGCATCTCCCATGTGTGGTGCGGGCCTTCAGGGGGTTCTGGGGTCACACACGTCTGCTGCACACGTCCACAACATGAGGAAAGGAACACATCAGTGCACAGTTGGCGGTGGGTTGGCTGCTTCAACATGTCAAGGTCAGATGCCACAGGCACCTCTAGGCCCTTCTGTGGTCCCCACACCCTGGGGGGCCATCTGCAGCAGGGATCCCCCCCCCCAGCTTTCAGTGTTGCAGGGGCCTTGCAGAGCCACCAACCAACCTTGCAGTCATGACAACTTCCCCCATGTCCCTCCAGCCCTCACTGGCCATGCCGCCACTTGCAGCCCTAGTGGGGGCCCAGCTGCAAAAGAGAGATACGGGATCAGAGATGTGTCCAGGGCCCCTAGTGACCTGTAGACTTGCACACACACACCCAGGCCAGCCCTTCACTGTGCGGACATACACAAAGGAGAGCCACATATGGGCAGCAGGCCCTGCATCCACAGCTGCACACGTGGCCCACCAGACCTCCATGCACCAGGCACAATAGCCACAGCCCTTTCTTGCCAGGGAGTGGCAGTGGCCCTGGCATCTACTCCATCCTCAGGACAGTGGGTGACCCCCTTGGGTACTGACAACCTCGGGGAGCTGGTCACGAGCTGGGCGGTGGACGCAGGGCCAAGGCGTGGAGCCTACAGCACTGCGACAAGAGCGTGGGAACCTCACTGAGACGGCCACTCCATCAGCTTCCCGAGAACACAGAGAGAAGGGGCCTCCCAGGGCTGCAGAGGCCCATGGGGGTTCCCACTCCATTTTTAGCGGAGAGCACTGAGACAGAGCTCACCTCCCCGGGCCCCATCATCTGGACATAAAAATAACAACTATGGTTTCTAAAAACCGACTTCTCCTGGGAGCCTATCCAGGGGGCCACAGAGGGCGGGGATGGGCCACGCCAGTCGCCACACCAATCACACACCTGACAAGATCCCAGCCCTCCAGGTGCCCCAGCTCTGGGACTGGTCCAGGCAGCCCTGAGGGCAGGCTGCCGGGCCACTACCAGGACAAGGACACCTCACTAACTGCACGCCCAGCAGGGACTGCGCCTCCTGGTCACAACTCCTCTCAGAGGTGTCTCCCCTGAATGGAGACACAAGGAAGCAAGAGAAAAACCAAAGCCAACCTAGAGAAGACAAGGAGCCAAGACCCTCGGGGAGGACAGGGCTGGGCAGGGCCCAAGACCGAGCATCAGGAATCATGTGTGGACAGTGGGTTTGATGAAGATCTGCCAAGGGGGCAGCCACCAGCCAGAGGAACAGCACAGAGCTAGCTGTCCCTGTGCCAGATGACACCGCAGGCCGGCCTGGGGCCACATCTCCTGGCATGAACTGGGCAGGCCTGACAAAGAGGGGTCTGGGCTGAGCTGGCTTGTGCCAACTGTGGCTTGAGTGCACTTGAGTCATTTAAAGGGGCACCAGGTACCCTTGGCTCTATGGGGCCAGGCTGGTCAATCTGAGCAGGCCTCAGCCATACTGGCCTGTGATGGACTGAGGTGGGCCAGACTGTGCTGAGCTGGGCTCTCCCAGGCTGGGCTGCTTTGTATGCACAGGTCCTAGTCAGGCTGGTCCAACTGTGTAAAGCAGAGGTAGCCTGGACTGGACTGTCCTAGGTTGGCTGGGCTGAGCTGGACACACCTGAGCCAAATGATGCTGACTTGAACTTGGCTGCAGTCCTCTGAGCTGAATGGGAAAGAGTCAGGGGAAGCTGGGCTCAGCAGCATAGGGTCAAGCTAAGGTAGGCTAGGTGGGTGGAATAGGCCACCTTGGCCTACCTCGGCACAGCTGCGTGAGACGGGGCTCTTCTTTGCTCAGCGTGACATACCTGGGCAAGGCTGAGCTGACCTGGGCTGAGCTGAGCTGAGCTGAGCTGCAGTGACATGGATTGAACTGGGCTGAAATAGGCTGAGCTGACCTGGGCTGAATAGAGCTGAGCTGAACTCAGATGAACTCAGCTAGACTGGTTTGAACTGGGCAAGCTGGAATAAACTGGACTGAAATGGGCTGAGCTGAAGTGGGCAGAGTTGACCTGACTGGGCTGAGCTGAGCTGAGCAGAGCTGAACTGGAATTAACTGGGCTGAACTGAGCTGAGCTGGGCTTGGCTGAGCTGAGCTCAACTGGGCTGAGCTGAGCTAATCTGTAATTAACTGGGCTGAGCTGAGCTAAACTGAGCGAATCTGGAATTAACTGGGCTGAACTGGGCTGAGATGAAGTGGGCAGAACTGAGCTGACTAGGCTGAGTTTACCTGGGTCAAGCTGGAATTAACTATGCAGTACTGAGCTGAGCTGGTCTGAGTTGAACAGGGCTGATCTGAGCTGAGCTGAAGTGGACTGGCTGAGCTGAGCTGTAATGAACTGGGTTGAACTGGGCTGGGCTGGCTGGGCTGAGCTGAGCTGAACTGGAATTAACTGGGCTGAGCTGCACTGAGCTGACCTGAGCAAATCTGGAATTCACTGGGCTGAGCTGGGCTGGGATGAGCTGGAATGACCTGGGCTGAACTAGGCTGAGCTGAGCTCGGCATGGCTGAGCTGAAATTCACTGGGCAGTACTGAGCTGAGCTGGGCTGGATTGAATGGAGCTGAGCTGAACTAAACTGTACTGATCTGAGCTGAGCTGGAATGAACAGGGTTGACCTGGGCTGGGCTCACTGAGCTAAGCTGACTTGGGCAGAGTTGAGCTGAACCTGGCTGAGCTGAGCTGGGTTGAGCTGAACTAGAATTAACTGGCCTCAGCTGAAGTGGACAAAACTGAGCTAAATGGGCTGAGCTGACTGGGCCGAGCTGGAATGCACTGGGCAGAACTGAGCTGAGCTGGCCTGGATTGAACAGGGCTGAGCTGAGCTAAAGTGGGCTGCCCTGAGCTGAGCAGAAATGAACTGGGTTGAAGTGGGCTGGGCTGGCTGGGCTGGCTGAGCTGAGCTGAACTGGAATTAACTGGGCTGAACTGGGATGAACAGGGCTGAGGTGAGATGAGCTGAATAAGGCACAGCTGAGCTGACTGGGCTGAGTTGAGCTGAACGGGAATGAACTGGCTTGAACTAGGCTGGGCTGGGCTGGGCTGGGCTGGGCTGGGCTGAGCTTGGTTGGACTGAACTGGGCTGAGCTGAGCTGAGGTGGGTTGGGCTGAACTGGACTAAGGTGGACTAAACTGTGCTGAGCTGTGCAGAACTGGACTCAGCCTGGTCAAGAAGGGTGGTGCTGTTTTTTGAGTCCCCTTTGACCCAACTTAGTTTTCCTAAAATTGAGTTCAACTCACTGAGGAAGCTGTCCTTGGCTGGCAGGTTGAAATGAGCAGCGTCAGAGCAATTTGGTTTTGTTTTGTGGACTGAGAGCAGATGATACTCAGAGCTAGAAATGCCCTCTTCCGGGCTGACCTGGATGAGGATGGCCATCATGGGCTCTGTAGAGCTGGGCTGGATGGAAACAGGCTGGGCTGGGCTGAGCTGGCAGCACAGAGCCTGGTGGGGTTGCTGGTGCCAGCTGTCCTGATGCGGTGCCATCGGGACCACAGGAGCCGAGTGGAGCATGGTGGGCACATCTGGGGCAGGGCAGGATGGGCTGAGGCCCAAGGTTCCCAGGCCAGGGAGGAGCTTGCAGGGTCGCCCACTTGGGGAGGACTGCCAGTGGGCTCTGAGGGACACTGCCACCTCTCCATGGAACCTGGGCTGGGCTCCCTTGGGGGTCAGCAGGGAGGGGAGAGCACCAGGGAAGCCTGGCTGGTCAGTGACAACTGGGGTGAAGGGGTGCCCACAGTTGCTGGGAGCAAAGCCTGTGAGTGGCAGGTGCGGTGGGGAAAGGGACACATTCATGATTCCTGGGACATTGGGGCCTTGGGACCACAGGCCCTAATAGGAGGGCCTAGGGTGGGGGCAGAGGGGCCTCCCTGGGGGCCTCAGGCTCCCTCCTCCCCTGTGGGGGACTGTGGGCTCTGAGCCTCAGCCTGGAGAGATGGCTGCTGCTGGTGCTGCCTGAGAGCCCGTGTCCAGGCCACTAGAGCACAGGGTGGGGCCCTGACCAATGGTGGGGCAGCACCAGCTTCCAGCAGGGGCTCAAGGCTCACAGGGCGTGTTGAGGAGGAATGAGCCCAAAATGAGCCTGGGCTGTCCTGTCCCCAGGGCTGGAGCTGGAGCCTGACTCCAAAGCTCTATGCAAAAGAACACCCAGGCTCTGCACCTCAGCCCACTCTCCCAGGCTCCCCGGGGCCTCAGGAGAGGATATCCCAGGTCAGAGGTGAACCAGCATTGACCTGGTCCTGGTTCCATCCCACAGCCCCCACGCAGGGCCCGTCCGTCTTCCCCCTGGTCCCCTGCCCCAGCAGCATTGGCGAGGCGAGCGCCCCTGTGGCCCTGGGCTGCCTGGTCAAAGACTACAACCCGGAGCCCGTGAACGTGACCTGGGATGCGGGGTCCCTGGAAATAAACATCACAACCCTCCCTGCCACCATCGACTTGACCTCCGGCCTCTACACCACCTCCAGCCACGTGACCACTGCCTCAGACGAGTGGGCCACACAGGAGTTCACCTGCACCGTGGAGCACGCCGAGTCTGCCCCTGTGAAAGTGACCATGGGCCGGAAGGAAGGTGGGCCCAACTGCCACCACGGGCTGCCGTCAGGGGACCAGGGGCAGGCTGGTGGGGTGGTGCGTCACACCCGGAGCACTCGGGCCCTGGGCTGGGAGGTAGGGTTCAGACGCTCAGAGAGGTCAACGTCAGGCTCGCCACCTGTGCCCCCAGTGTGCTATGACAACGTCACTCAGCCCACCATGAAGCTGTACCACTCCTCCTGCGACCCCAGTGGCAACACCTATGCCATCATCCAGCTCCTGTGCCTCATCACCAACGTCACCCCAGGTGACATCAAGGTCACCTGGCTGGTGGACGGGCAGAAGACCAAGGGCATGTACGTGCACACCGACACCCCCAAGCAGGAGGGCAGCCTGTCCTCCATCTTCAGCCAGCTCAACATCACCCAGGGCGAGTGGGTGTCCGGGAAAACCTACACCTGCCAGGTCCACTATCAAGGCTGCACCTTTAAGGAACATGCCCTCAACTGCGCAGGTACAGCACCCCCATGCAAACACCCCAACACTCAGGGCTGAGAGGGGCCCGGCATGGCCTCATAGAGCCCCTCCCTGCACACCACAGAGTCCGAGCCCCGTGGCGTGAGCGTCTACCTGATCCCGCCCAGCCCCCTCGACCTCTACGTCCACAAGTCATCCAAGATCACCTGCCTGGTGGTGGACCTGGCCAGCGAGGAGGGCATGGACCTGCAGTGGTCCCGGGAGAGTGGGGGCCCTGTCAAAGACACCGAAACCAAAATCGAACGCCAGTTCAACTTGACTTACACTGTCACGTCCACCCTGCCAGTGAAGACCGATGACTGGGACAAGGGTGAGACCTACACATGCAAGCTGAACCACCCACACCTGCCCCAAAAAATAGTGCGCACCATCGCCAAGGCCAAAGGTCAGCCTCAGAAGGGGGGTGGGGTGGGCCCCCGCCACAGCCTGGGCTGACACCACACCTGTCCACAGGTGAACGTGCTGTCCCTGAGGTCTACGTGTTCCTGCCACCCGAGGAGGAGCAGAAGACTAAGCACATGGTCACCCTCACCTGCCTGATCCAGAACTTCTTCCCGGCCGACATCTCGGTCCAGTGGCTACATGACGGCTCCCTGATCCAGACAGACCAGCACGTCACCACGTGGCCCCTCGAGGTCAACAGCTCCAGCCACACCTTCTCTGTCATCAGCCGCCTGAAGGTCAGCCGGGCAGACTGGGAGAAGAGGATCCAATTCACCTGCCAGGTGGTCCACGAGGCACTGGAAGGCTCTCGGACCCTCAAGAAATCAGTGTCCAAAGCCCCTGGTAATTGATGCTCTCCCCCCACTCCTCCTCAGGCTCCACCCATCCTGCTGGGACAGGGAGGGCGCCGGCCAGCCCCTCTGCTCAGTGTTGTCAATAAATATCCAGTGCCTGTGCGGAGCCCTGGCTGCGCATTCTTGGGGGTGGGCAGGGCTGGAGGCAAGGGTGTTTAGGCCCAAGGAAAGGATGCCCAGGAAGGGGCTGAGAGGGGTGGGGCCTTGCTGAGATGTGGCTTAGTCCACATCCCCGTTAGCATCAGGGGTCCCCCCGCCACCCCACTGTGGATCCTGCCCACTCAGCGCAGTCCTGACACCAGAGGGTGTTTTGCGGGGAGGGACGATGGAGGCCCCAGCTCAGCCCACAGCAGCTGCCTCTCAGAGGGCCTCGAAGGCCTTGCTCTCTACCCTGGGCTTCTGTTGACCCCACTGGACACAGACAAGCTCCCCAGCCCCAGGTCCAGCTGCACTCACAGGCCCTTCCGCGGGAAGTGACAGGCTGAACGAGGTGCCCGCACAGACACCAGCACACAGGGGCCCAGACAGCCCCACCCTCCAGTCCCCCGGCCAGCACGGCCTGAGCACGTGTGGGCAGGGACGGCCCAAACCCTCCCACACCAACGCCAAGCTCCCCCCACTCTGACCCTCGCTTCAGTCCCCCACAGATTGACCCCAGGGAAGGGCCTGGCCCTCACACGCACACTCCATGAGGCTCCCAGGTGGCCACACCCTCCGTGCCAACCCTGCACCCACAACAGTGCCAGCCCCCCCCAACCGCAGTGCCCACGTGGCAGACGCATCAGACGTACACTCTTGGGGAGCCTCCCTCGACCCACCTCTTCCCAGGCCATCCCTCGGCCCTTCCTCCCCACCACACCTGGGCCATGGGGTGCCAAGATGGTCGTGGAAAGGCCCCCACCACAAGCTGGGAGTCCAGCAGTCTACGCAGTGCCTCCTCCTGTGTCCCCAGCCTCCCCAGTCAAACCCTCTTTGGTAGTAAGCCCCACAGACAGACAGACAGACACCAACACAGACACAGACACACAAAGACACACAGGCATACAGACATACATGGTCCTAGACACGCACATGGGCGCAATACACACTCACTAACACAGACAGGCATACATGGACACCTACACAGGTGACAAGCATGGACACAGACCCTGGGACACATAGTCACATATGGATAAAAACAGCTACAAAAGACACACACTGACACACATAGGCACACACACAGGGCATTCACTCTCCCAGGACATGGGCTCTCCCGCACCCCGGAGCAGACTCTTGGCCCCATCCCATGGCCTGGGGCCTGCAGGGATCAGGGTCAGAGACCAGGCCCACCCCAAGCCCCAAGCTCATGTCCATGTCCTTCCCCCAGACCCCACACTCTGTCCTACACATGCGCATGCACACACACACATTGTCAAGCACAAAAGCCCCCAAGGAATCCTGCATGGAAAGCAGCAAGTGCTAGCCTATGGTGCAAAGACACAACCCAGAGGAACCCAGCCGGTGCGCTCCATGCAAAGCCTGGCACCTGCACACTGGGGTGCCTCACTCCTCAGAGAGGGGACAGAGGGCAGCACTGGGGCCAGCTCAGAGCCAGAGGCAGCTGCAGGCTCCCAGGGCCAGGCCAGCCCCTGAAGTGAGGGCCAGTGTCTGAGGGGCTCAGACTCTCCTGGGGGCTCCGGGCGGCCAACACATGTGCCATTTGGAGGGGTCACCAGACCGGCAAGTGAGAAGCTGAGTCAGCACAGGGCTGGGGTGGGTGGGCAGAGCGGGGGCTGAGGCAAGGGGCCCCTGGGGCCAGCGGGGGTGCTGGCAGTCTGGAGAGAAGCATGATGGGTAGAGGGAGAAAAAATGATGTGGGGTGGGGTCAGGAGATGGCAGAGGGCAGAGGGCAGAGCTCCCACACAGTCAGCCTTGGGGAGGCAGGGGTTTCCGATGTTAACCAGGCGGGGTTGGCTGGTGACTCTGAGAAGTCGCCGAGGGGGCTGGACAGGGACTTCCTGAGGCACCCAAGGCCGGGCAAGGCTGACCAGCAGGTGCCCACAGAGGTGGACCTCCAGGACCTGTGTGCCGGGGCGACCGAGAGTGAGGAGCTGGACGGGGTGTGGACCAGCCTCTACGTCTTCGTGGCGCTCTTCCTGGTCAGCGTGACCTACGGCGCCTCAGTCACACTCTTCAAGGTGGGACACGGCCCCTCTTCCAGGGCCAACGGTGGGCCGGGAGCCCAAGCGAGGCGGAGAGAGCCAGGGCAGAACCCCTCACGCACGCCCTCCTCGCAGGTGAGGTGGGTCTTGGCTGCCGTCCTGCAGGAGCCGCCCCAGGCCACCCACGACTACGCGAACATCGTGCAGCCGTGGGCCTGGGCCCAGAGCACCAGAGGCACCAGCCTGGCCGCCTTCCTTCCCACGTCTGAGCAACACTGAGCCTGCCTGCCCTGCCACAGGTGAGACGGTGCAGACAATCCCTAAAAGGGCCAGAGCCAGAGACTTGACAACCAGCTCATGGGCACCTGGAGGGTTCCAGCTCAGACCCAGTCCAGGCACCAATGTGACCTGCCCATCCCAGCCCTGCTCCCACCCCACTTTGGGACAAGTGCCAGAACCGCATCTATCCTCTCGATGGAGCAGCCTGAGCTGGGCATGGGACGGCCGCCCTGGGCTTCTCCCAGGCCCCTGGGTTTGGGGCCACCCCATGCTGACTGGACAACTTCTGAAACACAGTGAGGCCTGGAGCCCGTGGTCCGGCCCGCTGCCCAGAGCCTGGAGCCAAACGGACCACTCCACGTCCAAGCTCAGCCTGATCCAACCTCCAAGACCAACGCTCAGAGTTCAGGGCAAACTGAGGGTTAGAGTCCAACCCCAACCCAAGGCCTCACTCCGTAGACTTGGTCCGACCCTCCCTGGCCCCAGGTCTGAGTGCCCGGCCCTGGTGCCGAGCCCTGTCCCACTGCTCGCCCTTGCTGCCGTCCACCGCAACCCTGCCCCGCAGAATGTGGAGTCGGGGAAGCCCTTCTTGGGAGCATCCCTGAGGCTGTTTGGGGATGGGGCAGGGTGCCATGGGTGGGAGAAGGGGTCCCACAGGTGCACAGAGAGGCTGGTGTGGTGCAGTAGCCCCACCCCATCCACTGTGGTCTTGCTCCTGGCTTGGCAGTTCAGGTTCCTTTCCGGGGGATTTCTTAGTAAAGTTTTTCTTTTACAAACCCCATCCTCCCTGAGTGTGCATTGAAGGGGATGCCTGTGGTCCCATGGGGTTGGTCAGACGAGGGATACATGGCACTTAGGGGTCCCTAAAGGCCCAAGTGGCTGGCAGCTGCCTATACCTTCCCTTCGATGCCCCAGAAATGCCTCGGCGTGGTGCCCAGCACACCTGCTCAGTGGCTTCCCGACCGGACCCACTGACCCTTCCCACACTAACACAGGAGCCAAACCCCAAGCCCCTGAGGTGAGTGCAGGGGCCACAGGAATGCAGCTGCACACTCAATAGGTCAGGGCCAGTGTCAGCCTCCAGGACCAATGGTCCCCCCCAGACTGGCCCACCCGCTAGGCACACAGCATGCCAGACCTCGGCCCCTTGCTTCCCCAGCCAGCCTGGGCATCCCAGGGGGCCAAGCAAGTGGTAGCAGCCAGCAAGAGCCATGGGGGCTGGCCACAGTCATCCCCAAGAAGGAACCTGGTGCACCAGAGGTAGGAGCCAGAGGCCTCCAGTGATGGCCACTAGGCCAAAAATGGGGTGGGGAGGCATGAGGTGGAGCCCTTCTCCCAGGTAAAGAGGCAGTTTCCCTGGTCGGACAGACCTGCCCACTGGGTATGGATGTAGAACATGTGAACACACATGATGAAGGGCAGGGCTACCACATACACAGAGAGTGCTCAGGAACCAATAAAAAGAGAAGAGTGAGACGTGAGTCCCTGGCAGCAAGGAAAAGCCAAGTAACCAAGAATAGGAAAAACATATTTCAATAGCTACATCAGTTACAAGGAGGAGGAAATCAGGGTTGGATCTGAGTGTGCTTGGGGGGCCTCGCCCTGTCTGAGGCGTGGGAGCGGTTGAGACCATTCTTTAGGTGGGCACTGGCTGCAGTGCCCGCAGACAAACCCTCAGGCCTTTTCGGTGGCAGACTCCATGCCTCCCAATGGCCCTTCACAGAGCCAGGCTCAGGGCTGGGTGGCATCCCAGCACACGACTGACATGGTCAGGGACAAAAGTGAGCTCCAGTGGAGAGTGTGCAGCCTGCCAAGGCTCAGACCTTGACACCCAGCCCCCCACTGGTGTAGAAAGCGCACGACTGGGCAACACAGGCTTCCAGGGATGCTGAGGGTTGGGCGTAAGGACAGCAAGGAGCAGGGGGCTTTCAGGCTGCAACCCCTGCCCTCTGTGCACTCACACAGACACACCATCACACACTCGGGACACACATTCATAGACACCCTGTCACAAGCTCAGGGACACACATTCACAGACACACTGTCTCACTCTTGGGGACATAAATTCACAGACACACTGTCACATACTCGGGGACAAATATTAAGAGACACACTCACACAGACACGCACACACACAGCCTCAGGAAGCCAGGCCCCAACTCCCACTGCCTCTGCAAGGGTCTGACCAGCCAATGCCTGGTGACCCCTTCTTGCCTCCTTGCCTGGGAGCTGCAGGGCAGAGCTGCATCTCATTGTCCGACCTGCATCCCAGATCACAAGATACCTCCACAGGCCCTGGATGAGAATAGGCTCAGCTCACACAAGAGTGAACGGCATCTCAGCCAAGCCTGGGAGGTTGGAGAGACGGTCACTCCCAGCCCACAGTGGGGACGCCCAAAACCCTGCCTTCACAGACCTCCCAGCAGCCAGAGGTTGCCTCCCTGGACCCTTCTCTCCCCTAATTAGCCCACCATGGTGCTCTGAATATTGACCCCGAAAGCTAGGTCCACACTCTAGTCTCTGAAACCTGTGAACAGAGCTTATTTGGAAAGAAGGTCCTTACAGGTGTAATAAAGTTAAGGATCTTAAGATGAGAATGTCCAGGTGGCCCCCAAGCCAATGGTGAGTGTCCTTCTGAGAGAGAAGATGTAGCCACCAAGGAGGAGATTGGGGCAATGCAGCCACCAGCCAAGGGTGTGTAGAACCCCCATCGGCTGGAAGTGGCAGCGAAGACCTTTCCCTGGGGCCTCCAGATGGACCAAGCCCTATCCACATCTTCATTGAAGTCTGTCCTCCAGAACCGTGAAAGTGAATTTCTGTAGTTTTCAGCCACATAGTCTATGGTTTTTTGCCATGGACACCCTATGCACCAGCGGGGCTTGGCCAAGCAGAAGTCCCTCCTCCTTCCAGAGAAGCCCGGGGAGTTCTGTCCCCAGGACCATCCCCCCCATCTGGACCCGTGCAGCCCCTGTCAGATGGGAGGGCAGGGTGCACCTCAGCTCAGCCTCATCCACCAGGTCGCGCAGGCCCAACGCTGCATCTCAGGTCCCGGCAGGCACCTCCTCTTCTGCCCCGAGTTGCACGTGCATCTGCACCCACCCACTTCAGGGTCATGCCCCCCCTGCCCTCCCCAGTTCTGTCCATGCCAGGCATTGCACTTCCCCACGGGGCCCCTCACATGGCCCTTGCTCACTTCTCCTGCTCCCTGGGGCTGGCACTGTGAGGGAGGCTGGGGCTGCTGGCCCCATGGAGGGAGCAGGGCCTGGGGATTCACAGGCCAGAGGGAAGGTAGAGCTTCAGGGACACTTGTCCCCAGTGCAGGTCTCGCTGGTGTTGGGTGTGCGGGCATGGGTGGCACCCTGGGGCCCTGGGTTCCCAAAGACACTGCCCTCCCCCTGGCCACATCCTGCTCTCCTGCTCTGCCTGCTCTGGACCTCGACCCCTGTGAGGAGCTGGCCCCTCCCCAGGAACCCAGAGTCAGTGGTGACACAGGCCCATGTGCTTTCTGGAGGGGAGAGTCAGCTCCTGTCTGTCACTCTAGAACCTTCTACATATGAAGAAATGACTGAGTGAATAAATACAGATCCAAAACGAGCCCCACTGCCCCTTGGTCAGGCTGGGGCCACGTGCTGGGGTGAAGTGGGGGCAGTGCCAGTGGGGCTGGTGGGGCTGGCAGAAGAGCCCTGAGCAGGATACGGGGCAGGTGGGGGCCAGGGCCACCCAGGGTCCCCCAGCCAGCAGGGCTCCAGGCTCCCACACCTAGACGTGGCCTCGCATCCACCAGGCCTCAGTCTGGGCCCCAGATGCCCACAGAAGTCGCTGGTCACGCCAGGCCAGAGTGGCTCCTGCCTTCTCAACTGACCCTGTGGCCCACTCACTGGAGGTCACTCAGGGCAGGCCCTGTGCCTCGAGACCCCTGCCCCACAAGCCCTCACAGCCTCCCCTCTGGGGCCATCACTGCCTCAGTGTCCCTGAGCCCCCACTGCAAGTGATTCACCCCTGCATCCCTGCATCCCTGCATCTTGGCCCCCTGCCCAGCCCTGTGAGCAGCCAACAGGAGTCAGGACCCCACCACAGCCAGGGCCAGGCTCCTGGGGGTCACAGCCCAGGCCACACACACCTGGCCTTGCCACAGCCAGACCACAGACCAGACATGACGTAGAGATGCGCGGCCGTTACTGGTGGGACAGGAAGTGGGCGAGTGACCCCAACAAGGTTCATGACTCAGCCTGAAGCCCATCCTCAGCCTGTCCCTCAGTGTCTGCCTCACCCCGGGTGCACAAGGGCCCAGGATGGGGCAGGGGTCTGCTGAAGCCACACGGCCACCAGGCAAGTCCCAGGCCAGACCTGGCCTTCTCCCTGCTCCAACTCCTCTGCAGAGGGTCTGAGATTGGACCCACACCACAGGGCCCCTGGCCATGGGAGCCTGGGCTTCTCTCAGCCTTGGTGGCCCCTCCATCAGTCTTCAGCAGGTAGGTCCCAGATGCTGGTCAGGCCTCATCTCCTCCTTGGCCAGGCACTCTGAGCCCTTCTAGAACCAAAGGTGTGGAAAATAGGCACCAAGAAAGAGGGATGGGGGACAGGCGAACAGCCTCCAAGAGCCAACAGGACCACAGGACAGGATGATCTACCCAGATAGGAATGAGGTGAGCTATTGTGGCCTGGTCAAAGCTGAGCTGGGAAGAACTGGGCTGAACTGGACTGAGCTGGGCTGGACTGAACTGGACTTGATGAGCTGAGCTGGGCCTAACTGGTAAAGTTGGGCTGAGCTGAGCTTAGATGGGCTGAAATGTGCTGATCTGAGCCAAGCGGGCTGCACTGGGCTGAGCTGGGCTGAGCTGGGCTGAGCTGGGCTGAGCTGGGATGAACTAGGTTGTGTTGGGCTGAGCTGGGCTGAGCTGGGCTGAGCTGTGCTGGGCTGAGCTTTGTTGGACTAAGCTGTGCTGAGTTGGGCTGACCTGAGTTGGGGTGAGCTGGGCTTAGCTAAGATGGGTTGAGTTAGGCTCAGTTCAGCTGAGCCAAGTTGGGCTGAACTGAGCTGGGTTGAGTTGGGCTGAGCTGGGTTGATTTGGGCTGTGTTGGGCTAGACTGAGCTGGGTTGAGCTGGGAAGAGCTTGGCTGAGCTGGAATGAACTGGGTTGTGCTGGGCTGAGCTGTGCTGAGTTGGGCTGACCTGAGTTGGGGTGAGCTGGGTTTAGCTAAGCTGGGTTGAGTTAAGCTGAGTTCAGCTGAGCCGAGTTGGGCTGAGCTGGGTTGAGTTCGGCTGTGTTGGGCTGAGCTGGGCTGGGTTGAGTTCAGCTGAGCTGAGCTGAGCTGAGCTGGACTGAGCTGGACTGAGCTGGACTGAGCTGGTATGAGCTTGGCTGGGCTGGGCTGAACTGGGCTGTACTGGGCTGAGCTGAGTTGAGCTGGGCTGTGTTGTGCTGAGCTGGGCTGAGCTGGCTGGGCTGTCCTGTGTTGGGCTGAGCTCGGCTGAACTGTTGGGCTGAGTTGGGCTGAGCTGGGCTGAGCTGAGCTGGGCTGGGCTGGGCTGAGCTGGGTTGATTTGGGCTGAGCTGAGTTGGGCTGAGCTGAACTGGGCTGGGTTGGGCTGGCCTGGGCTGAGCTGGACTGAGCTGGGTTGGGCTGATTTGGGATGAGCAGGGTTGAGCAGGGCTGAGTTGGGCCAAGCTGAGCTAAGCTTGACTAAGCTGGGTGAGCTGAGCTAGGTTGGGCTCACTGGGCTAAGTTGGGCTGAGCAGAGCTGGGCTGAGCTGGGTTGAGCTGGGCTCAGCTCTACTGGGCTGAGTTGGGCTAAGCAGAGCTGAGCTGGGTTGGACTGAGATGAACTGGGCTAAGCTGAGCGTGGTTGAGCTGGGCTGAGTTGGGCTGGGTTGAGCGGGAGGCTAAGTAGAGCTGAACTGAGTTGGGCTGGAATGAACAGGGTTGAACTGGGCTGAGCTCAGTTGGGCTGAGCTGGGCTGGGCTGAGCTGGGCTGGGCTGAGCTGGGCTGGGCTGAGCTGTGTTGAGCTGAGCTGGGCTGAGCTGAGTTGGGCTTAGCTTGGCTGGACTGAGCTGGGCTGGGCTGGGCTGGGCTGAGCTGCACTGAGTTGGGCTGAGCTGAAATGAGCTGAGCTGAGCTGGGTCCCAGCCACACTCAGCTGTGCTGGGTTGAGTTGGGCTGAGTGGGGTTCAGCTGGGCTGAGTTGGTCTGGGCTGAATGGGGTCTAAGAGGGGAGCTGACCAGAGCTGAGCTGAGTAGGGCTGAGCTGGGCTGAGCTGGGCTGGGTTATTCTGAGCTGAGTGGGCTCAGCTAAGCTGAGCTGGGCTGAGCTGGGTTGAGTTGGGCTGAGCTGAGTTGGACTGCTAGGAGCTGGTGAATGGGAAGAGGTGGATTCAGTGTGGATCATCCCTGGGTAACCCTGCTCTGTTCCCCAGCTAGGCTTCCCCCTGTGTTTTAGGAACACATGAGGGCCTTGCATACTCAGGATACCTGTGCCACGTGTCCTCTCTTCTTCCATCACTAGTGGCCCTGAAGGGAATACAAGTGGGGGCCCTGTGTGCCCAGCCTGTCCAGGAAGGACATCTCTGAAGGGCTGATTTCACTAGGCCTCTCTTCTTGAGACCCCTGGAGGCCACGAGGTGGACCTCTGCTTGTGGGGGACTGGGATGGTGTTAGCTAGTGGAGTGGTTCTACCTGGACCCTGACCAGAGAAGTTTTAGTGGGGGCCAAAGAAGGCTCTTGTCCCCTCTCCTTCCCAGCATGCCCTTTGGCACCACCACGCTGTCCCCCAGGGCAGGCTGAGCTTCAGGCCCAGACCCTTCTGTGCTCATTTATGTCCCCCATCTGGGCCCACTTTTCATGACCCCCAACTCTGGGAGAGAGAATGGCTGTACCACTGACAGAGGGAGCTGAGTCTCCAGCAGTGCCCACAGGCTCCAACAGCCAGTGGAGAGCCACGTGTAATGACTGACTCAATAGGGAGGTGGCCTACATAAAAGAGCATGTCCAGTCCACATGCTGGAGCTCCCAGGAGTGTGTACAGGTGTCATGCGTCTGCACTCGGCCCCCAGTCCCAAGCTGAGGTTCCTGGCCTGTGAGCTGAGTGACCTGGGGGCAACCAGGGGCTCTCCCTGTGCTGTTTGCCCAGGGCAAAGGAGAGGTGGGTGTGGACATCCTTGTGGGGCCATCTTGGGAGTCTCACAGGGCATCCTCCCCTGTTGCAGTGGATGCGACCAGACCCAGTCTCTTCCCACTCAGTCTCCAAAGCATCAACTCAGACGGTCAAGTGGTCATCGGCTGCTTGGTCCAGGGCTTCTTCCCACCGGGGTCTGTGAACGTGACCTGGGACCACAATGGGAAAGGCACCTCTATCAGCAACTTCCCCGCCGTGCAAGACGCCGGAGGCCTGTACACCATGAGCAGCCAGCTGACCCTGCCGGCCGACCAGTGCCCAGAGAAACAGTCTCAGAAATGCCACGTGAAATACAGCTCCGACCCCAGCAAGGCTGTGGACGTGCCCTGTAGCAAAGGTCAGAGGTTGGACCAGGAAGGGGTGGGGACCATCAGGTTTCCATAATGGAAACATGTTCCCCTCGGGGGCTCCCCTCAGGCAAGAGTGGGCCCCAGATGAGCCCCAAGTGGTTGGCCGAGAGGCAGCAGGGCTGGATCAGGAGACATGGGAGGGGTTGAGTGGGTGCTGCTGTGCTGACTGTGCTGCCTCTCTCTCTCCAGAGTGTCCCAAATGCCCACCAAACCCCTGCTGCCAGCCCCAGCTGACGCTGCATCGGCCTGCCCTCGAGGACTTGCTCCTGGGCTTCAGTGCGAACGTCACATGCACACTGAGTGGCCTGGCAAAGCCCGAGGGTGCCACCTTCACCTGGGAGCCCACAGGTGGGAAGGACGCCATCCTGGGGACCCCTGAACGCGATTCCTTTGGCTGCTACACCGTGTCCAGCGTCCTGCCAGGATGCGCCGAGCAGTGGAACCGTGGAGTCACTTTCTCATGCACTGCAACCTATCCTGGCTCTAAGAGCCCACTATCAGCGACCATCACCAAAGCCTCAGGTGCGTCTTGACCCCACCCGAGAGGGGCCACCCAGCACTCCACAGTGTGCAAGGCACATGCCTAAGTCTGCTTCCCTACACCCGGGTGCCCCGCCCACATTTTACAGATGGAGGCTGGGCACAGGGTACCCAGCAGACAAAGGTTCTCTCTCCCTGCCCACGCCCCTTACTTGCCTCCTCTATGCCCCCAGGGAGCCTCTTGCCACCCCAGGTCCACCTGCTGCCACCACCTTCTGAGGAGCTGGCCCTCAACGAGATGGTGACACTGACCTGCTTGGTGCGGGGCTTCAGCCCCAGTGACGTGCTGGTGCTGTGGCAGCACGGGAACCAGGAGCTGTCCCGAGAGAAGTACCTGACCTGGAGCCCCCTGCATGAGTCCGGCCCCGGCAATACATTCGCCGTGACCAGCGTGCTGCGCGTGGAAGCTGAGCAGTGGAAGAATGGGGACAACTTCTCCTGCATGGTGGGCCACGAGGCACTACCCCGGAACTTCACCCAGAAGACCATCGACCGCCTGGCGGGTAAACCCACCCACGTCAATGTGTCCGTGATCTTGTCAGAGGTGGATGGCACCTGCTACTGAGCGGCAGCGCCTGCCCACCCTGCCTTCGAATAAACTCCACACTGGCCCAAAGCAGCCACATGTCCCTCTGGCACCTGTCTGGTCCTCTCAGCCTGGCCCTGGGATGCGCCCTCACACCCATGGGCTTGTGTGTGTGTGTGTGTGTGTGTGTGTGTGTGTGTGTGTGTGTGCGTGCGAGCACATGCACGCGCGTGTGCAGGAGTGTGCATGCACAGTGACTGAGACCGAGCTGACATGAAAGCTGGGGTGGCAGAGTCGTGGGAGGAAGGCACAGCTGGTGGGTCCTGGGTACAGCAGACTCCCTGGGAAGCACCTTCTTGTACCCAAAAACACCTCTCAAGGCAGCAGGAGGGGGAAAGGTGGAACAGAGCTGGGCAGCCAGGAAGGGTCCGCTGCCATCATGCATGGGCCAAGGCACGAGGGGAAAGGCCAGGGCAGGAGGGCTGGGTTCCAGGGCCCCTCGCACCCTCGGTGGGCACGACATGAAGATGCAGGCCAGCCCTACTGACTCACAAAGCAGACACTCCCTGCCTGGGCGCAGTCCTCCCCACCTACAACACATGGTTGTGCACATGGGGGCACACACATCCTCTGCATGCTCACACTCAGGGGAGCAAACATACAACCTCTGAGCACTCAGTCATGGGTGCACACATGTCTTTGCATGCTCACATTCATGTAGGTGCGCACATGTCCTTGTGTACTCACACTCACATGGGAGCACACATGTCCCCCACATGCTCACACTCACATGGGCACATGCTCACCTGGGCACACGCATGTCCATGCATGCTCACACTCATGTGGGTGCACACACATCTGAACCTTACAGGTTTAGAATGTTCACAGCCCCTGTCCCAGGAAGGCAATGCAAATCCTCATTCAAGCCCCCAGCAGGTTTCCCAGGCCCAGCCCACTGTTCCAGGTCCTCCTGGCCTCAGGCCTCCCAGTCACCCAACTGGGCACAGCTCAGGGAGTGATTTCACATACCCTCCATGGCAGCCTCTGGTCCCTGCCCAGTCCCCAAACTCAATCCTTTCATTCCTTCCTGAGCCCATGTATGGCCCAAGCTGTAGGGTGGGGGCAGGGGTAGGTAGGCATCTGAGGGACAAGACTTGTCCCAGCCCCTGTGTAGGGCTCCCAGAAGGAGGAAAGGAGGCCAGGGGAAACACAATGGAAAGGACAGTCCCATGACCACCAGGGACGCCTGGCACCAGGGCCCCTGCCCTTGTCTTAGACACCTTCTGAGCCTCCCCAGGGGACCTGGACTTTTGGTTGCCTCCCTTTGCTCCAAGGACCAAGATAAAGTGGGGACCCCTAAGCATCCTGCCTACTGCTCCCCTCTTGAGGGTCCAGTCACCAAAAGGCAGTAGGGAGAGCAAGGTGCTTACTGGGGAAACACTGCCACCATGAAGGTTTTCTAACTGCCAGGGCCCCAGGACCTGCCCAAGAACCAGCTTCCTAAGGAGACAGGGAAGGGAGGAAAATAAGTAGATGAGGAGCTGAACCAAGAGATGGACACAGGCAGGTAGGTGGAAGGACCACAGGACATATGATGAATAAAAGGGTACATGATGGATGGATGGCTGGATGGATGGATGATGGATGAATGAATGGATATATGGATGGAGAATGGATGTATGGATGTGTAAAGAGATAAGTGACTGAATGTGTCAGCATATGACAAGCAGGTGCAAATCCTATTTAACATGGGAGGCCTATGCCCTAAGACCCTGAAGACATCAGGTATGCCCGGTGGACTTCACCTGGCCCTCCTTCCTGCTCCTCATAGCTCATCATCTACACTCCCTGGGAGGGCAACAGAGGGCCCATTGGGCCCTTGATGCATTCAACACAGACTCAGACCTGTGTCTAACTGGAGCAGCTGAGGGTGAGCGTGTCCATTTCTCTCACCCCATTCAGGGCCCAGGCCAGGCCGGCCCAAAAGCAGGGGCTTGGTGAGGACACAGACAGGGCTGAGATCCAGGAGGCCTTGGGCCTGAGCTCTCCTTAGAGCAGCAAAGACAGTGCCCACCCCGCTGCCCTGCCAGCCTCTCTCCCTAGGGTGTGCTGAGACCCTCAGAGACAGGGTCCTATGACATCCTGGCCCCTTCCAGCCTCTTTGTCCTCAGCCCCATGAGGGAAGGAGCCACACTGCTTCCATCTCGGCCCCAGGGTGCTGGGAGGGGAAGGTGCTCGTTCGGCCCCCACCCATGCAGGGGCACGCCTGCCAGGCTCCCAGTGTCTTACAGATTGTCAAGACCTGCTTTCCTGGGTGGTGATGGACCTGCCACAGGAGGACCTGGAGGAGGACGCCCCGGGAGCTGGCCTGTGGCCCACCACTGTCACCCTGCTCACACTCTTCCTGCTCAGCCTCTCCTACAGCACAGCACTGACCGTGACCAGTGTCCGGGGCCCGCCTGGCAACCCAGAGGGCCCCCAGTACTGAGCAGGAGCCAGCCAGGCCCAGGTGGGGAGGCAAGAAGGCAAGGCAGTGGGCTCATGTGGGGGGGCAGCACTTGGTGCCCAGAAAGCACGTGCACCAGGGGGTCTTGTAGCCCAGGGAGGTCATCCCCCCAAGACAGCAAGGGCAGCCAGGGAGTCAGCAGGCTCAGGGCATCTGCCTCCCACCAGGTGCAGTCACTGCAGGAATCGGTTCAGTCTCCCAGGAGCCAGCCCAAGGCAAACAGCCTGCCGCCTTGGGAGTTTCCAAGCCGGACTCACCTGTGTGTGCAGGGAGGACCATGGGAGAGCCTCCTCGAGTCCCGCTGGACCCCAAGCTCAGCCCGGCATGAAAGCCAGCCACCCATCCCTACGCAAGCCATCCTGGTGCAATAAACTCATCACAAATGCAGATGTTCTCTGACTCTGAGTGAGGGGACGGGAAGGGAATGGGGAGGCTATGGAGAGATGACGCCAGCCCCTGGGCCCAAGGCAGGTTCACAAGACATGGCGGGGGGCCCTCGGGCTTAAGGCACCAGACCAGGTTCTGTGTAAAGCATGGGTCTACAAGAGGAGTATTGCAAAGGGGAGTACAAAACAAGACCCCTCCCAAGAAATGGGCCCAGTTCTCTGGTCTGGGCCCAGCCCGGCCCTGCTCACTGAGCCCTCGTCTTGGTCAGTGGACATTTGTCCTGATTCATGAGCCCTGGTACATATCCCTGAGCCTACTTCCTGCTCACTGAGCCCTGGTTCTAATCCCTGAGCCCTTGTCCTGTTTACTTTGCCTTGGTCCTGCTCACTGGGCCATGGTCCTGCTCACTGAGTCATGGCTCTGCTCACTGAGACCTGGTCCTGCTCTCTGAGCCCTCATACTGATCTCTGAGCTCTGGCTCTGATCCCTGAGCTTTGCTCCTGCTCACTGAGCCCTGCTTCTCCTTACTGAGCCCTGGTCCTGATCACTGAGCTTTGCCCCTGCTCACTGAGCTCTAGTTCAACTCACTGAGTCCTGGTTCTGATCTTGGAGCACTGGTCTTGCTCAGTGAGCCCTGGTTCTGATCCCTGAGCCTTGGCCCTGCTCACTGAGCCCTAGTTCTGACTATTTAGCCCTGATCCTGCTCACTGGACCCTGGTCCTGGTCCCTGAACCCTAGTCCTGGTCCCTGAGACCTGGTCCAGATGCCTGGGTCCAGGTTCTGCTCACTGAGCTCTGGTCTTACTGAGCTCTGGTTCTGATCCCTGAACCCTAGTCCTGCTCACTGAGCCCTGGTCCTGATCCTGAGCCCTGGTCCTGCTCACTGATCCCTGATTCTGATCCCTGAACCCCAGTCCTGCTCACTGAGCCCTGGTTCTGATCACTGAGCCGTGGTTCTGATCCCTGAAACCTAGTCCTGCTCACTGAGCCCTGGCCCTGCTCACTGAACACTGGTTCTTATCCCTGAATCTTGGTCCTGGTCCCTGAGACCTGGTCCTGTTCCCTGAGCCCTGGTCCTGCTCACTGAGCCCTGGTCCTGATCCCTCAGCCCTGGTCCTGATCCCTGAACCCGGATCCTGCTCACTGAGCCCTGGTCTTGCTCACTGAGCACTGGTTCTGATCCCTGAACCCTAGTCTTGCTCACTGAGCCCTGGCTGTGCTCACTGAGCTCTGGTTCTGTTCCCTGAACACTAGTCTTGCTCACTGAGCCCTGGCCCTGCTCACTGAACACTGGTTCTGATCCCTGAGTCTTGGTCCTGGTCCCTGAGACCTGGTCCTGTTCCCTGAGCCCTGGTCCTGCTCACTGAGCCCTGGTCCTGATCCCTGAGCCCTGGTCCTGCTCACTGAGTCCTGATCCTGCTCGCTCTGCCCTGGTTCTGATCCCTGAGCCCTGGTCCTGATCCCTTAGCCCGGATCCTGCTCACTGAGCCCTGGTCTTGCTCACTGAGCACTGGTTCTGATCCCTGAACCCTGGTCCTGCTCACTAAGCCCTGATTCTGATCCCTCAACCCTAGTCCTGCTCACCGAGCCTTGGTCCTGATCCCTGAACCCTAGTCCTGCTCACTGAGTCCTGGTCCTGAGCCCTTGCTCTGCTCACTGAGCTCTGGTTCTGATTCTTGAGCCTTGGTCCTGCTCACTGAGCCCTGGTTCTGATCCCTGAACCCTGGTCCTGATCCTGAGCCCTGGTCCTGCTCACTGAGCCCTGGCCCTGCTCACTGAGCCTTGGTTCTGATCTCTAAACACTAGTCCTGCTCACTGAGCACTGGTCCTGCTCACTCAGCCATGATTCTTATCCCTGAACCTTGGTCCTGGTCCCTGAGCCCTGGTCCTGTTCCCTGAGCTCTGGTCCTGCTCACTGAGCCTTGGTCCTGATCCCTGAACCCTAGTCCTGCTCACTGAGTCCTGGTCCTGAGCCCTTTCCCTGCTCACTGAGCCCTGGTTCTGATCCTTGAACCTTGGTCCTGCTCACTGAGTCCTGGTTCTGCTCACTGAGCCCTGGTTCTGATCCCTGAACCCTAGTCCTGCTCACTGAGTCCTGGTCCTGAGCCCTTGCCCTGCTCACTGAGCCCTGGTTCTGATCCTTGAAC